TCAATATTTGAAGGGAGGGAAAGAAATTTCAAATAAAAATTTCAATTGTCGAGGGTATGGGACGTGATCTATTCGGGCGAGGCGCTTTACACAATTACGATCGAACTTCACAAGTTCGTTTGATCGTTCAATTGTGTTACAGCGCCTCGCCCTCTAGATCACTAGGTTTACTATGTAGACTTTTAAAGATACAAATATTGCAAGGATAGTAAACATTTTATTATTCTAGTAACACATTATGTTCCAATCGAATAATAAATTAGTCATTCAAGTTCAGTTTTGGAATACAATCTTATTGAAATTATACTGAGGTTCCAGAGGTCTTTTGTAAAACCTTGCAAAGGTCGTTGAATGTTCAGACCATCCTGCAGCTTTCCTAATAACATCATAGGAGACACCTTTACGGTAGGCAGCCGAAGTAGCGGCATGTCTAGTAGAGTGTGCAGAAAATATTTCCGTATTTACTCCAGCTGACTTTAATACCTGAACTATCCAGCGTCCAATAGTTGCTCTAGTTGCTTGAACGAAAGGTGCCTTTGAAGTTATAAAGAGATATTTATCATGCTCTGATCTACTGTTTGCAGTTCTTTCTATGTAATTAAGTAGTGTAGATGTTACACACAAATTTGGTGTTTGGTGGAAATAGGGAAATTCCATGTAAGGTTGAAATGCACTGGTTGGTGTTGTCTTAATTGGGTCATCAATAAACACATGAGACCCCTCTCTATCAAAAATTATGTTTTGAATGTTCATTAAATGGATTGTTTGAATTCTCTGACCAGATGCCAGTGCTATCAAAGTAGCAAGTTTTTTCGATAGATTCAATATGTCCAAACTTTGGTTAGGACCCATGGAATCTATATACCTTAAAACTATTTGAGGATCCCAAGTGATGTGGTATTTGGGTTTAGGTGGACGTGACCTTCGTACTCCTCTTAAGAAACGTCTTATCTGAATATTTTGTCCAATTTCACCAGGTAAGATGAGTGCAAGAGCAGACCGGTGTTGGTTAAACATACCATAGGAGTAGTTTTTTGAATCTAATTGTTCTTGTAAGAAAATCAACACATCTGAAACTCCTGCATTATAAGGACTAATTTTGTTTCTGCAACAAAATAGCCACCATAAGTTGAAGGTCGTGTTGTACTGCTTCATGGTAGCTGCTGATAGAGATTCTAATGATGTTTCGACTGTTTCTTCTGGGTATCCTTTGCTTAAGAAAGCCTCCCTGACAATTTGCCGGCAACCAGGATAAGGGAGTGACTCATTGGGTGTGATGAACTGAAAGGAGAAGATAATAAGTCAATTTTTGGTCCCAAATAAACCAATTCTGATATTAAAAGTTTCTTAAATAAAGGGTACCATGGTTGTGTAGGCCAGTAAGGTACAACCACAATACCGTCAACCTTGTCTGAAATAATTTTGTTGAGTGTACGCAAAACCAAGGAGAAGGGTGGAAATGCATAAAAATTAAATTTTTTCCAGGAGACAGTGAAGGCGTCAACCGCCCAAGAATCAGGGTCTGGATGCCATGATAAGTATTTTTTGCATTTTGCATTGACTTTTGAGGCAAATAAATCAATATCAGGTTTACCAAGATGAACAATAATATTACTATAGGCATCCTCTGATAGTTCCCATTCAGTCTCAGTAGATATTTTTCTAGAACTCTCATCAGCTTTGTTTTCTTTTGACTGAACATATGAAGCATGGAGCCATAGATCTCGATCCTCACACCACTGCCAAATCTTTTTGGAGAGGCTATTGAGTTTTACGTTTTGAACACTACCCATTTTATTAATGTAACTCAAAGCTGTAGTATTATCTACTCTCAACAGTATATTGCAGGATCTCAGATCTCTGGCATAACATTTCAAAGCATAAAATATAGCTTTTAGCTCTAAGTAGTTTATATGGTGAGTGATTTCAGATAATTTCCACCAACCATAGGTGTTTTGTCCTTGACAATATACCCCCCACCCTGTTTTTGAAGCATCTGAAAATATTTCAATATCAAAATGGTCTTTAATTATTTTATTTTTGGAAATCAAAACTGATTTTTTCCACCATTCTAAGTCACCTTTGATAGACTCGGTTATTTTCATAGCACAGTTATAATTCTGGTTAGATTGTTTCAAGGCCAAATACTTCTCTCTTTCTAAAGTTTTTGTATAAACTTTACCATATTGTACAGCAGGGCAAGCTGATACAATTAATCCTATGAATTGTGCAAATTCCCTAATTTTTACATATTTCTTTGACTGAATTCTAAGAATTGAGTTATAAATTTTTGTTCTTTTTTCTTGTGTAAGTTCCAAAGTCATTTCTACTGAATCAAATATGAAACCCAGAAATGTACATCTTTGTGCTGGATTGAGTTGACTCTTGTCTTCATTGATAGTAAAGCCTAAAGAACTCAAAAGCATAACCGTACAGTGAACTGCTTCCTTGCATTTTTCTGAGGTTTCTGAAGTTATCCAAATATCATCCAAATATGACACACAGGAAATGTCTTTCTGTCTAAGTTTAGCTAAGACTGGCCTCATCACTTTAGTAAAAACATATGGTGCTGAGGAGAGGCCAAATGGTAAGGCTGTGAATTCATAAAGGGTATGGTTAAACTTGAATCTTAAATATTTTCTATAGTCCCTATCAATTGGAATTGAAAAATAGGCATCCTTAAGATCTATAGTTGCCATGTATGATTCGTTTTGAATAAGTTTCATAACAGTTCTGGTGTCCTCCATTTTAAAATGTGGGGGGTTAATAAATTTATTCAATTTTTTGAGGTTAAGAATGAAACGTTTTTTACCATTTGGCTTATTTACCAAGAAATAGTGAGACAAAAATTGATCTTTCATTCCAATACACTTTTTTACTGCTCCTAAGCTAACTAAATCAGTTATTGCCAGAATTAAAGATTTGTCTTTCTTCTTGTCTTTTGGCATGTAGCATGTAGATTTAGGTTTTTTCAAGAAGGGAATTTTATAACCTTTAATATAATTCAGGACTGTGCTCGTAGCACCTATATCCTTCCACATCCCAAAATGTTTCCTGAGTCCACCTGCAATTTTTCCTACCTTTAGGATCGAAACCTGCTCTGCTGTTGACTCCTTCTCTGCAGAGGTCTCTGGCCCTCCTGTCGATGATCCCTCCTGAACCTCGACGGGCCTCGGAAGTTTAAAGAATGTGTGATTACTTTACTTTTAGGTCCTACATTTGTAGGCATATTATTTACTGTATATGGCTTCTTGAAATCTCTACTGGACTTTTCTACTGCTCTGGCTGCTTTAATTTTTTCTCCCAGGTCAGAGTCAAATAGGTGTTCACCAACAGCTGATGCACTAGTGAGTGCTTTAACAGTTTTATTTAGATGTGGAATTATTATAGCTCTCCTCGTAAGAGACATTCTATAATGCAAATCAGCAAGGATTTTTCCTGCCTCACTTAGTTCTCTTATGGCCTGTTTCTGAGATTCAGAATTATTAGTTTGATTTTGTGTTTTCAATATCAAGTTAAGGGTCATACCCAGTGCAGCAATTCCTCGTCCTAATTGGTTTTGTCTGTTGATGTGAAAACTATCCTTTTTGATAATCATCTCTGGAATAGCAGTTACAATTTCTTCGTTAACTTTGGGTGCTATGAGTGTTGGTAAGTTAGAGGGAGGTCCATATTTTTCTATGAGTTTTGATCTCTCATCTTTTCCTAACCCCTTACTAATTATAGTTTTCCACCTATTACATATAATTGGATGTAATTCAAAGGTTTTTAGGGTATCTTTTTTCTCTCCTAGCAATTCTAGAATTTCATCATCATCAACCTGACTTTCCTGATCGCCAGGTTGTGAGAGAGGAGAACCCAATCCAAGATGTTCATTGTTCAACAAGGGTTCATTATCCTCATCTGAAACATCTAGTATCTGTGAATCTGAATCAACACTTGGTCTTCTGTGTTGGGACGGTGAATCAGACTCCTGGGCATGTAGCCTTTTTGTATTGGAGATCTGTTGACAATGTGTTCGGTCCTTCGTAACATAGTCCTGGGCTCGTAACCCGTTTGGGACGTCAGACCTTGGGGACATGTCCTGGGCACGTGACCCACTGTGGACACCTGACCTTGGAGAAGTATATGACTTCTTTTTACGGTCACCTCGAGAGTCGCCTGGAGAACTGGTACGAGACTGTCCATATGATTTTTCCGAATATCTTTTGGATGGGGGTCTCTCATGGTTTGTGTCACTTCGGTACCTTTCATCTTCATGATCGACATGATCATAACTTGGACTTGAGCGTTGCAAATGGCGGCGACTCTCCTGTTCCATCTTCTTCTTCATATCGGCAATTTCTCGTTCTAGGTCGAGTAATAATTCACGGCGCGATCGTTTTACTTCTCTGCTGTTGAGCGGAGAACGTTCGCGGCTTCTTTTCGATGATTTGGGCATATTTAACACAGATATTTCACAGTTTTTTCAGGAAAAAACTAGTAATAGCGTCCATTACTTAGCGCACAAAAAAGCGTAATAACGACAGAAGCACAGAACACGAGAGATGCGACACGGAACACGGGCATAAAACATTTTCCTTTCTTGATTGACACGTCAATCCTTTAAAATTTGTGGCTCCAACTGGCGACAAAGAGCGGTACTACATAGTAAACCTAGTGATCTAGAGGGCGAGGCGCTGTAACACAATAATACGTATATGGCCACATCCCATCTTCGCTTCGTGGGTGCCCGTAAACGTCAAAACGAAAGTGTCAAGTACATTGAGGAACTCTATATTCATAGGGATATAAAAATCAACGGTTTTTATCTATATTTGGCCTAGGTATAAAGCCGGCTCTGGCTTTGGAGGCAGGTTCTTTTTTTTAAGGGAAACGTCGACTGCAAACTACGCAGCGCCAAATGTCAATAAAATTCAAATGCACGATACACGTGTTGCGGGCATTGCGGGTTGTCATATTTTTAAAAAAATAATAGGTTAGAATTGGAATTTGTGCAAATATTTCGAGTTTTTATTGTTTTTTTGTCACTATTTTACGATGCAACATGACGATGTGGTATGGAGTATCATCAACAAATCATTCTGTTCTTACAAATCCCAAACAAAAACCCAAAAATTCTGTAGAAACGAATATAACCTGACAGGTTTGTGCAACCGATCCTCATGTCCACTAGCGAATAGTCAATACGCTACCATCAAAGAAGAAAATGGTATCATATATCTTTATATGAAAACTGCTGAAAGATCAGCATTTCCTAGGAAAACCTGGGAGAAGGTGAAACTATCCAGGAACTTTGAGAAGGCCATACACCAAATTAATGAGAATTTATTATACTGGCCTGGATTTATCAAGTCAAAATGTAAACAGAGGTTTGTGAAAATAACTCAGTATCTTATTCGGATGAGAAAACTGAAGTTGCGTAGGCAAAAACTCATTGTTCCCATTCAAAGTAAAATAGAAAGAAGAGAGAAACGTAGGGAAGAAAAAGCTCTGATAGCTGCAAGAATAGAAAAGGGTGTAGAGAAAACACTGTTGGACAGATTGAAGAAGGGTGTCTACAAAGATTTATACAACATTTCACAGAAAGCATTTGATGATGCTGAACAAGAGAAAGAATTAGAATCAGATGAGGAAGTGGAAGAAGAACAGGAATTGGAAAATGAATTGGAGATGGAGCAAGAAGATGATGGACCTGAATTTGTAGCAGCAGATTCAGATGATGAGAGTGATTATGAGAGTGATAGTGGCAAGGCTGAAATTGTTGACTTTGATGGCAGTTTTGAATCTTCAGAAAACTCTGATATTGAAGATATAACACCAAGTTTGCCAATGAAAAGTAAAACACCTCTCAGCAAAAACAAGGCAGACAAATATGGTTCAACTGGCAAGAAACTACAAAGACCAAGGGTGGAAATTGAGTATGAACTTGAACAAGCTGGGTCATCAAGAGAAAAAGTTGTGTAATCCAATATGTTTTGCAATTTTATTAAATATACTGAAACCATTCCTCATTTTTTCTTCTACTTCCAATAACTGCCAATACAGGGTGTAACTGAATAAGTGTAAAACATTTAAGGAGATGATTCCTCATCGAAAAAAAGATAGGATCTTTCATATAAAGAAACTTCATTGGAGCATCCCTTGTTAAGATACAGCCCCTTAAAGGGGGTACATAAAATTTGTATAACAATTTTTTTCACAAACACTGAAAAAGTTACAATATTGAAATTAACCTGACGTTTTGTACTACCAAAAAGACACTTAGCCAGTAATTTATTTGGTTTACCCCATGGTTGTAAGGGGTGAAAAACGCAACCCCTAAAATTTATTTCCAATGTAACTTTTTGTCTTATTATTTGTTTACCATTTAAAAATTTATTTCCGATAGCCTGTTTCATTCTAAACAAAAAATGTCTCTTGGGTTTTTTGCCCAAAATAAACCAGTAAGCAGCAAAACATTATTTTACGAACAACTACAGAGATACATCGTCATAAATGCGAAAATACGAAACTAATCTATCTAGTATGTCGCTATTAGCGATAGTGACAATTAAATTGGTATGACGCTGTCAGGTTAATTTCAATATTGTAACTTTTTCAGTGCTTGTGAAAAAAATTGTTATACAAATTTTATGTACCCCCTTTAAGGGGCTGTATCTTAACAAGGGATGCTCCAATGAAGTTTCTTTATATGAAAGATCCTATCTTTTTTTCGATGAGGAATCACCTCCTTAAATGTTTTACACTTATTCAGTTACACCCTGTATATGTATATCTATATAGGGTGTAATTTAGTTGATGGCTGAAAATACAAGATACTGTTCCTTAGCTCATTGGATTGAATAAAGAAACTTTCACAATGTAAAAAAACTGTCACGTTCATGAATACTTGTCAAAATAAGACCTCAATGTAATTGATCAAATAATGTCATTATTTCAAATAATGAGCTAAGGAACCATATCCTTTATTTTCAGACATCAATTCAAGACGAAGATTGATTAAAAATTAAATTAATGTGAATAATTTTGATTTAATGTTGAGTTGAAGAGAAGTTAACTTAATGTTAATTTAAAGTTGAATTATTGTTAAGTTAATGTCAAGTTAATCTTGAATTAAATAATAATAATAATCCTAATAAAAAAATAATATCACCTCCATGTGAATGGAACTCGCTATTTCTCTATCTTTCTTACTTGAATGTATTGAACAAAGATGAATAGGTATTCAATATAGCGAATTCTAGTGCACCACACAGGTTTATGAATGGACAGAGACAGAACCTATTAAATATCTGTCAATGTCAAATTACGTTACCATCAGTCATCTGGATCTGTCATTGTCAATTATTTAAAATGGAGTAGGAGCAAAGATAAATATTTGGCAATTCTAGTAAAACAAATTATTATTTGTTTAGTATCTTTAGTATAAACTATAGTTCATAATGGATATTCTCCCAGGTATTCTCTAAATGAACATACAAGAAAGACCTGCACGTTTTGATGTCCTAGTGTTACCCTGTATTGAATGTTTTTTTATTTTCCCTTTGTAGAGTGGAAATGGGTATGCACTTTTCTATTTTTTAAATGGCAATTTATTTGTATTATTATTTATCACATATGCTCAATTTCTCTATCTGTAACCTGATTTCCAGAGGGTGTCAATGCTTCCTTTAAAAAAGGCCCAGGACTCTATGAATTCTTGATAGAAGCTGAATTACAACAATATTTTAATAGTTTCAAGTAAGTAGACACCATACATTGTCTGAGGATGTCTGAGGTGTCAGTCAACTATTTTACCAAGTGTTTGATGTTTGTATTAACTGATACTATTTCTTTCCAGAAATACACTGAAAATCACTCATCCTTCTCAACTGAAATTTACCACTGATGGAGATTTGATTGAAATTGGAATGTCCAAGCCTGAAATGCGTAGGCTTAGAAAATACTATGAAAAACACTTCCCTCATAATTATATTTCCAAATTCAAGAAGCTTCTAACCCATAGGAAGCATGAACATTCAGTCAATGATGCTTATCTTTTGGGAAGCACTGATTCATTGACCCTATCCAAGGCCCCCAGGGTGTCCAGCAAACATATTATCCCTTCTTCTAGCATAACTATCAATAAGGAGCTGGGAATGGGTGAATTTGGAGTAGTACAACAGGGTGTTTGGTGTAATGAGGGAGAGAGAATACAAGTAGGTAATCAGCAGACAGTTTTTATGGATGGAAAGTTATGATGAATAAATAATTGAGCTGATGAAATATTGATCAAAAGTCTCCAAAAAAATCTCATAAGAATCACAACATTCAGTGTATTAGAATTATCAGTTTGTGTGTTATAAAACTGGAATAACATGATAACAATTCTATCAATTTGGATAAGGACAATTTTTTCAAATATCCACTACAAATAGCTAATGATCTTAGTTATCTGAATGTACATTTTATTTTTAGAACTGAAACCTGATCATTGGAAGTTCTTGTTTGATTTATTAATCACCTTATGATTTCTATTGATAGTAATGTATTTTGAACATTATTGTATTCCAATGGGCACAAACTAATTGGATTTTGATTAGTAGTCATTTTTCATAAATGGAATCTGATTGGATAAAGGAATGTGGTACACCCATCACATTCCATACCTAATTAATAGAATTCAATTCCATTATGTAAAAATATGAGTCCTTACCTACTTGAGAAAAAATGTCCACTTATATTTCTTAAGCCTTATTGAAAGTTTCACCCAATTTTTTCAGACAATACTTCATGCCTTAGAACATATTTTTTGAAAATTTAAGAAACTGATTTTCAAAAGTTGTGTGGATGATGAATTATTTCATGAAAGAATGCCTCCAAGGGTATACTTGTTGACTCCTATAATTTGTCACCATATATTCACCTCTCAAGATCCCTTGAAAGAAAACCTGAAAAAAATCATGTTTTTCTGCTGTTTTGTCTTTCATGTATGTCTCTTGCCTCAAACCTCTAAAAAACCTTGTCTAAAAATAGAAGAAAACATATTTTCCAAAATGTATGAACTCACTTTATAGTTGTTCTTTCAAGGACCATAAACTTTGTGTTTTACTCAAATTAGGTATTGGAGATTGTAGCCAACTAATCAAAAACATTTATGGAAGTCAATTTTGTTTCATAATGTTTTTTCTCAATAGGCTACCTTCCACAATTATTGTTCAATTTTGGAGGTAGATGTTGAATGAAGGGGTATTTTCCAACAAACATAATATTTGGGAGAATTCGGACTTTTTCGAAAAAAACCTCAGAGATAAATAAAGATGACTATAAACAGAAATGAAAACCAATTTCCATTAACTATAAAAAAATAATTACTTCACGGAGCCCTTTTATGCCTTGATACTTTGGAACCCTAGAAAAAAAACTTTTATTCATCGCCACCCAAACAAACCCCTTATGCACAACCACTTGTTGAACATAATAGGGATCCCCTTTCATGCATTTCAAAAGATAAAAAGATAATGACTTCACAGAGGTCCTTTTATCCCTTGATTCTTTGGAACCCTTATCTTATCTTATATCAATCGCCTCCGAAACAAACGTCTGACTATGTTAAAATAAAATCAGGAAATCGGCAACTACTTTTGCCATATGTTGAAATATGATTGAGAACTTCAGAAATATTAGTTATTAAATAATTCATAAATTCGCAGTTGAGTATTGGTAATATTCCTAATTAGCAATTAAAATTCTATTGTCTCAAAATGTTAATAAATGTATAATAAATTTGTGTAAATATTGATTATATTAATCACTAGAGGACATTTGAATCGGTGAACATGACAACACGGCGCACGACTTGTGGGCGTGGTCTTGTCAGTTCTCAGCATTCAGCACAATGTTGCCAAGTCTCCAACATTTACATGATATTTTGCTATGGAAACCTTTTGAAGTAATCAAATGTGTCAATTTAATTCTGTGTTTTGATTTTTTGAAAGTGCGAACTTGGTGGTTGTTTAGTAATTTACGTAACCTCGAAGTGGAATGGAAGATAAAAAGACTTTCAGTTCTTTTTCGGAGACGCTGTTATTGACTAATTTTTAATCAAATCTATCAACATTGCACCTATACAGTGTCTTTCATAGAGTAGGCATCATGTAGGAAAAACTTTTAATGATAATGTATTTAAGAATTCGACTCGGGCGTTAAGATTTGCTTCTTCTTCAGAAAATAATAATCCCCGCTCAAAATTTCTGTTATGTTTGATGCAAAGTTGATATATCGTCTATCATTCAGGAGCCAGGTAGCCGCGCGGACGAAGCGTCAGTATTTTAATTCCGCGTTCGCTTGCCGGTCGTGAGTTCAATTCCCTCGACTGCAGACATTTTTTGATGGCCCAAGAAAGTGTTTGGGATCACACGTTTAAAAAGTATGGCCCCCGTCATTCCTTGCTCACACAAGTCTCTCGAAGACTTCTAATCGAGCTTCTGAGGGTTGCTCGTAAGTGGGCAACCGAATGACGGATAGAACAATGTTAGAACAATTTAGCAATATTTATTTGAATTGACTTTTTCAGTACTAAAATGATGCCAAAGTCATCTATCAAAATATCATCAAACTACTAACAAAAGTTCAGGACAATTTTGTCGAAGTTACAATTAGAAGAAATCAAAAAAATACAAAGAACTGAAAGTGACAATAGAACGTTTAAATTCGTGACACAAGTGTAAAATTGAAAAAGAAACAACTTTTCTTAGTAATTTTTGACATGTAGCCAAAGTCACGGTACCCACGTATGTCATTTTTCATCATTTTCTAAGCAAAACTTAACGCCCAAGTCGAATTTCAAAATGAATTATTATTAAATTCCCATACGATGCTAACTTTATGAATGACACTGTATGTATATCCGGGAACAAAGTACTCACTTTTTTCCCGTGAGAATAAAGTAATTCATTAAAAATGTCATTTTGCAACCTGCCAACAGAGAACAAGTCAAACTTTTTTCCCGTCACAGAAAAAAAAATCTTACATCCATCCCCCCGGAAACAAACCCCATACGCCCGCTTTCAGGTCGCGATCAAATGTCTGTCGAGGGACCGCATGCAGTCCAACATGGTGGAGTTCCTCAAGGAGGCCTCCATCATGCACAACATCGACCACGGCAACATCGTTCGCTTCTTCGGCGTCGTTCTACCTAACGTCGACGGCAGCCTGATGCTGGTCACCGAGCTGGCGCCGCTACGGTCGTTGCTGGAGTGCCTCAAGGAGCCCTCGCTGCGCGCCAGCTTTCCCGTGCTCACCCTGTGCGATTTCGCGTATCAGATTTGCGACGGGATGCAGTATCTGGAGGCCAACAGGTTGATCCACAGGTGAGTTGATCCACATAAATCATTGAAGAATTTACTCCAACAATGGTTGAGCCCTCAGCCTAAATGAAAGATTGGCACCGCGATTCATTAATTGAATACGCCAACAATCATAAACGCCAAACACTATTAATGAAATCGAGAGCTATGAGTCCTCGGAGGAGGCAATATTGGTTGAGCCTCCAGACTAAATCTCGATACATTCATTAATCATTGAAAAGTATACACACATGATTAGTTTGTACTGTAGTCTCAGCCATATACTTTTTGTGAATCAGACATACCGTTTCCAATATGAATAAACTTGTCAGAGTGAGAATTCTTGAGTTTGAAAACAGTGGTCTGCATGACTCTCGAATATCTACCTTGCCTAAGTACCTTATAGCACGTTTCTACAGTATAAACACTAATTGAAAAAGTCGTTGGCTACAATATCCCCAGAAAGCTATTCCATATCTCATATGAGATTCGATCAGAGAGTGATAGACCATCTTTGCTGTAGATGAACTCAATTCATTAGTGACAATTCTAAGAGCATAACATCCGGATGCCATTTTTTTAGTTAGAGCTGCAACATGCTGATCAAATTTCAATTTCTCGTCTAAAGTTATTCCTAGGAATTTTGTATACTTTTTGTTATCTAGAATGTTTCGTTCAATCTTAAATTATTGCAGTCAAAACTAAAGCCCATTATATTTGTTTTTTTGTGATTAAAAGACAGATAATTAGCTTCGCACCATTGCTGAACCGTTCCCAAGTCTCTAGCGATATTATTTCTTATGTTGTCACAATTTTTTCCGTGCCATAGTAGGGTGGTATCATCAGCAAACATGGTGAATCTTCCCTGAATGGGAACAGTGGCCAGGTCATTTAAATATAAGAGGAATAGTCTTACTGTTTTTCCCCTACCTTCGAAACCATTTCCAGGGACTTGGCGGCTAGGAACATTCTCGTCTTCTCCAAGAACAAGGTGAAAATCTCGGACTTCGGCCTGAGCCGGGCGCTCGGCCAAGGCAAGGACTACTACCAGACGAACTTCAACGTCAATTTGAAGTTGCCTATCGCTTGGTGCGCCCCCGAATGCATCAGCTACCTCAGGTTTACTACCGCCAGCGACGTGTGGGCGTTCGGGGTCTGTTTGTGGGAGATGTTTTCCTATGGGTTCCAGCCGTGGGCAGCGTTGACGGGGCAGCAGATTCTGGAGGCCATCGACGAACCGAATTTTCAAAGGTAGGAGTAGAACAAGTGCAGGTAGAGCAGATAGGGAGCAGTATTTTGTGATCTGATCATTGTCGTTCTGAATAAAAAACTAGTTATTATGCGATTACTTGAAACATCTTTGGTTAATTGGCAATATTTAATATAAGATCTCCCATCATTTGAATAACCTTTTGGTTTGGTACAATTTGGAAGAAATATTCAAAATAAATTGAATATTATATTCAAGAGAAATTTCGAAGGTAGGAGTAGAACAAGTGCAGGTAGAGCAGATAGGGAGCAATATTTTGTGATCTGATCATTGTCGTTCTGAATGAAAAACTAGTTATTATGCAATTACTTGAAACATCTTTGGTTAATTGGCAATATTTAATATAAGATCTCCCATCATTTAAATAACCTTTTGGTTTGGTACAATTTGGAAAAAATATTCAAAATAAATTGAATATTATATTCAAGAGAAATAGGAAACTCCAAGGGTTGTTACTCTGATTTCCACTTCTGTGCAATTTTTCCATTGGGCTTAAATGGTCGATTTAAAACACGTTGCTTCTCCGACCTAAAACATAGTTGGTATCAATTCCATTTTTTTTTATAAATCGAGAATTTCAATGGTGAGAGTTACATGGAATATGAAATTAAACTGTTTTTCAATTCCGTTGCTGAAATGCGACATATTCTTTTACTCAAAAAATGAACGCAACAGATAGCCTACAATTTTCTCCTTAATGAAAGTCACTGTATATACCTAACCCATCAGGCGCCTACCTCGTTTGCAAAGAGGGTTTACCGACTCCAAGGGTTGATACTCTCCCCTCGTAAGGGTACCTGTCGTGTCTCCATTGAGACATAAAGGTGACTATCAAAAAAATGTCTATAATACATCGCCTTCCATAACAAATATAAAATTTTGAAGAAATATTCGAAATGAATTGAATATAATATGAAACAGGAATGAGATACTCATTACCAGTAGCTGGTTTCTGGCCTGGCTTCCACTTCTGTGCAATTTTCCCATTGGGCTTAAATCAACACGTTGCTTCTCCGACCTAAAACATAGTTGGTATTAATTCAATTTTTTTTATAAATTGTTAATTTCAATTATGTAAGTTACATGGAATATGAAACTGAGATATTTTTCTATAACAAATCGGAAATTTTGAAGAAATATTCGAAGTGAATTGAATATAATACGAAACAGAAATGAGATACTCATCACCGGTAGCTGGTTTCTGGCCTGGTTTCCACTTCTGTGCAATTCTTCCATTGGGCTTAAATGGTCGATTTAAAACAAGTTGCTTCTCCGACCTAAAACATAGTTGGTATTGATTCAATTTTTTTTATAAATCGAGAATTTCAATTATGAAGGTTACATGGAATATGAAATGAAACTGTTTTTAAATTCCGTTGCTGAAATGCGACATATTCCTCTTTACTCAAAAAATGAACGCAACAAATAGCCTACAATTTTCTCCTTAATGAAAGTCACTGTATATACCTAACCCATCAGGCGCCTACCTCGGTTGCAAAGAGGGTTTACCGACTCCAAGGGTTGATACTCTCCCCTCGTAAGGGTACCTGTCGTGTCTTCATAGAGACATAAAGGTGACTATCAAAAAAATTCCTATGATACATCGCCTTCCATAACAAATATAATATTTTGAAGAAATATTAAAAATGAATTGAATATAATACGAAACAGGAATGGGATACTGATCACCGGTAGCTGGTTTCTGGTCTGATTTCCACTTCTGTGCAAATTTTCCATTTGGCTTAAATGGTCGATTTAAAACACGTTGCTTCTCCTACCTAAAATATAGTTGGTATTAATTCAATTTTTTTTTATAAATCGGGAATTTCAATTATGTAAGTTACATGGAATATGAAACTGAGATGTAAATTGAAACTTTTCTCAAATTCCGTTGCCGACCATTTATTAATGGTCGATTTAAAACACGTTGCTTCTCGAACCTAAAACATAGTTGGTATTAATTCTTTTTTTCATAAATCGGGAATTTCAATTATGAAAGTTACATGGAATATGAAATGGAACTGTTTTCAAATTCCGTTGCTGAAATGCGACATATTATCCTTTTACTCAAAAGATTAACGCAACAGATAGCCAACAATTTTCTCCTTAATGAATTAAAGTGGGCATAATACGAAACAGGAATGAAAATCTTATCACCGGTCGCTGGTTTTTGGTCTGGTTTCCTGCTGTGCAATTTTTTCGTCAATTAATAATAACACGTCGTTTCGTCTAACTGAAACATAGTTGGTATTATATCTCGAATTTTAAACATATTGAGAATTGAGATCATGGAAGTTACATGGAATAAGAAACTGAAATATGAATAAAAACTCAAAATTCCGTTGCTGAAACGCGACATATCTTTCTATTACTCGTAAATGAACGGATCAGATAGCCAACAATTTTCTCCTTAATGAGAAACACTGTATATACCTAACCCATCAGGCGCCTACCCCGGTTGCAACGAGGGTTTACCAAAGTATATTGAAAATGTTATTAAAATCGAGTTATCGAAAAAAATTATTGGTGTCAATTTATCCTGTCTAATTATTAGTTCTGATAATGCGTAGGAGCGAAAAAGCTACCGGAGGAACACTCAAACGCCAAATGGGATCATCATCAGTGGCGGGCAGTGTATATCAATCCCGAAACTGTCAGAAAAAATAGTGAATCTGAAAGAGATTCTCAAATTAGTCCGTTCCCCCCCAATTTATTTCTGAACCACCATTTTACAACGAAATTTGGAGGGCTCAAATGGGATAAACCTACTCTTTCGCGAAAAAAACAACATCTTTAAGTTTTAAAATGGTGGCTGGGCGCCATCTGGAACAGCTCGTATAATGCATTTTTGAAATAGATGAGTAGGATAGATCAAATCGAATCACACTGTATACATGATTAATGGCCACAAAAATACTGTAATTCAGCAAAATAATCGTTTTTCATATCGACATTAGTGTCAATATGAATATCATTGAAATTAGTGTTCATATGTCCAAAATGTAAACTCAAAATCTTTATATTGAAAATAAATTGAAGCAATACAATTTGCTTACATTTGGTCACTACATAGGGTCGATACGAAATGTCAAATTGACATTAGGACCAATATGGAATGGATTCTTGATTTTTTTAAATGCTATCAGAGTTTTCTCCACCAATTGCATCAACCGTACACAACGAAATCCAATATGCGACTGACGAATAGCTGGCTTGATTCATTATTCTGATGACTAATTAGTTACGGCATTAATTCATTCCCGAACAATGAAATTTTATCTATGACAGATGTTCATATAGAAAAATAGTTTTACAGGAGGTGACAAGATATTCCGGAGGTTTTTCGCAAATATCTCAGGATTGCCGTTGAAAAATACGGCGATGACGTAGTTTTTCAGACATGATTCATTCATATATGTATATACACCTATGACGTCAACACATTATGTACTTTAAGTAAACAGAAACAAACAAAACGAACATTATGATCAAAAAGTTATCATATTCCTAATTCTCAATTTGAAAATAATCACATATATCACACAATACAGTTACATTAGTACTTATAAGATTTGAGTATATATTAGAGGTATATAAAAAATTGAATTTGATCTGAATCAGATTAAGTATTGTCCTTTTTCTTTGTTTATACATATATGTACATTTATTACTTATTTTGTGAAATCAATTTGAAGAGAGTAAGTGTAAGATTGATAATAATATAAGTTATTATAATAATAAATAAGTGTCGAAACATTTTTCAGTGGATTATGAAATGTTTCAGTAGATCAGTAGAACTGGCAGCGGACGAGAAGTATTTGCGGAAGAAAAATTAATGACTGCGGAGGAAAAATACTTGCCCTCGGAAATAGTCGGTTTTTCGTTCGGAAATTAGAACGTAAAAAGTAATTTTTTGTAAAGGTCAACGAAAAACAATATTACTTATAAAGCTGGTTCAAACTTTGATCACAGGTAAATGTAAGAAAGTATCCTTTATAGTGAGCATATTCGATGTCCCAAATTTCAGAAATATAGCTAGGAAAACAAAGGAGAACAGTGGGGTTTATCATGAGTTTGTGTCAGCTGGTATTGGTGACGAAAGCGAATTTCGAATTTTTTCATCGTTATATGGAGATATATCAAAGCAAAATACCAACCACGTGATGAATAGCTCCATATTCATATCTGTACCTGAGAGCCAAACTGTATTAACTTAATTTTTTTTTAAATCGGTATTAAGTTTTCTTCCTACTAAACGACACTCGCTTCTTCACATGGAATATAGTATTAAGTCCTATATAATATACTTTCGAAGTTAGCCAAGGTTAAACAGTATTATATCATTAACCTTCTCCGAGCAAAATAGTATTATATGGAGTTAATATTGGTAAAGGAAGTTAACATGTGTGGACAAAATACAGTTTTTCCGAGCAAAAGAGTATTATGAAGCTGGTATTGTCATAGAAAATTACTATGTAAGGACATAATACAGTTTTCAGTGCCTGTATTATGTGGGACAAATCAAATGGCTTCTGGCATTCTCAAATAGGCAGAGACTTCAAGTTAGAGCGTAAAAGAGATTAATATCTGGTCAGATAACTCTCAATCCCAAGGCCGTAACATGATTATGGTGATGGCATATTTTTGGATCTTAAAACAGTATCTAAATATAAAAAATATTGATCACAAATTTCTGCTACGTGGTCATACGCAAACGAAAACCCCATTTTTGAAAGTGGGAATAGCAGCAACTCGCAAGGCTGTGTTGTCGGTCAAAAACTTATAATGTTGCTAATATGAAAGCACCCGATTTTGAAGATTTAAAATCTTTGTACACTTATTATAGCTCACCCTTTGTTGTACGTAAGAGAACTGAGGAAAGTGAAGATTTTCGTATGTCAAACGTGGTTCTCCTACAAGCACGCAGTGAACATATTGTATTTCAAATCACATTTTGAGGTAACCACGTTTGAATCTGTCCATCTTGAAAGAAATGGCAGGCGTGTTGTTTTTCCTGAGCTTTTATCTCATATTCGTGAGCAAGCAAATGAAATTTAACTGCCCTGGATTCCAAGAGTTTTTCAAGGTTTTTATAAAAAATTCGTTCATTCTGATGAGACAACGGACGATATTCAATAATCAACAGTATTTAGCTTCAGTTTCCTGTCCTCTTTTTGACCTTGCATTCATGAAAAATTAAAAATAAATAATTTCAGAATACATTCACAGTATTTAATTGCCCATATTAACTCCATTTTCATTTTAAAAAAAGTACTCAATACAGTTTTTCATCGAAGTATTAGGGCCAAACGGTATTAACTCCATCAAATTGACTTTTTGATATTTTGGCAAAATTAATGAACATTTTTGAAAATTAGAGAAGGGAAAATTTGAGAATAACCATATTTTATTATTGAGTTCATTTGTTCCTTTGATAGTTATTTAATGCATATTTTGTGTCAACTTAATGTCAATAAAAACTTTCAAATTGCTCTGCTGTGAAATTTGATTTTTGTGAGTTAATACAATTTGGCTCTCAGGTACAGATATACAAAAACACTTACCATCTTGAAAAGATACAACTTTCACACACTTGAATGAAAATGCAATCACTGAATTTTAATTTTCCACTTTTGAATAGTTCCGAGTTCTTTTTTATATCACTTGAATAGACCGTACGTGATGAAATCTGTAACGAGACTGCTTATTGGTTTGATTCACAATTCTAATGACTAATTACTTACGTCATCCTTTCAACCGATTAATTCCCGAACAAGTATGACTAAATCCGATATTATCGATAGTAGGTATGTGGGGTGGGGTGAAAAGAAATTTAATATACAGTGTCACCGTTGAAGTCCACATCAAATGAGTTTTTTTTATTATTCAGTTTGTGCAAATCAGGATTTCATGGACAGTTCTCACTTTGGAAATACTTTGAAAATTAAGTTCATGATTTTTTTTCAATCGATAGCTGTCCAGACATTTTCTGTCACAAAATACAAAGTCAAAAATGTCATCTTTCGAATATAAACGATTTCAAAGGGGCACATAAATCCATTTTCAGTTGAAAGAACATAGGGGAAATCGGAATATTGAAGAAAAATAGGTATACCTAAAAAACAAGCTGGCGGATCCAATATGGCGAAGAGTTTTCTAATTATGATCCAATTCTATTCAAAATTTGTATCTAGGGGTTTTTGGGATCGACAATTACGTTTCCTTCGTAAAAATTCAAGATGGCGGTCCAATATGGCAGACGAGTTTTGTAATTATGATCCGATTCTACCCAAAATTTGTTTAAGAGGGTTTTCGTGGTCGGAGATTCTGATTCTTTCGCAAAATTGGTGAATACAATCCAATATGGCGGACGAGTTTTGTTATTATGATCCGAATCTATTAAACATTTGTATCTGCTGGTTTTCGAGATCAGAGATTACGATTCGTTCGTAAAATTTTTAAAATTCAAGATGACGGATCTAATATGGCGAAAGAGTTTTGTAATTATGATCCGATTCTATTCTAAATTTGTATCTAGGCGTTTTTGGGATCGGAAATTATGATCGCTTCGTTAAAATTTGAAAATTCAAGATGTGGATTGATGAAAAATTGAAATGGGACAAGCATATAGAGGTTCTGATACAAAAAATATCTCCGATCATTGGAGCTTTGCGAAGATGTCCTAAACTTGACAAAAAAGTCATAAACATAGTACTTCATTCTCATATACTCAGTCGTATTACCTATATGATAAACGTTTGGGGATCTTGTTCAAAGAATTATTTCAGTAAAATATCTGCACTTTATAAGAAAGCACTGAAAGTATTGTATCGCCTCTCATTTGATATCCCAACAAATGATCTGTATGCCATAACAGAAAAATTTTCATTGGATGAATTATATAAAATAGATTCTCTTAAAGTTTCATATAATATAATAAACAATAATCTGAAATCCAATTTTATTTTGATAAGAAACTCAGAAATTCATGGTCATCACACGAGACAATCAAACTTATTTCATCTTGATTCTGTTCTATAATTGGCCAAAAAAAACTTACTCACGCTGCTCTAGCTGAATTTAATAAATTACCACATAATATAAAAAATTGCAGACATATTTCAAAATTCAAAATTGAATAAAAAAAACACATAATTGCATTACGAAATGGATAAAATTTATACTTTGCCATCTACTGATTAGTCCCTGTATCTATTTTTATGACTTGATCGATTTAGCATTTTTAGATTTTTTAGATATTTTTGTTGTTGTTGTCACCTTATATTATTTTATTATTGTTGTTTGTAACCAACTTCCTCATACCAAAGTTTTATTTCTGACTGGAAGCTAGTTTTGCAATAAACAATAAACAATAATAATAATAATAATAATATGGCAGACGAGATTTGTAATTATCATCTGATTCTACTCAAAATTTGTTTTAGGGGGTTTTCGGGGTTGGAGATTGTGATTCTTTCGTAAAAATAATACCGGACGTTGCTTTGGTACTTTTAGGTATACAACGAAGTTTAGGAACTTTATCCACCTGTGTAAACTCCTTGTTTATAAAACTGTTATGTTCTTTGAAAACAATAAATGTATTGATTGATTGATCTTGGTATCAATAAATGTTATTATTATTATTATCACCTCAACTCTTGCTGTAACACACTATTTTGAGAAGCAATAAAGGTATTATTATTATCAAGTCGACGATACTTCATAACAATAAAGCACATTCTCTCCGTTCCTCTCGCAGACTGGAGCAGCCCGACTGCTGTCCCCTCGACCACTACGCCCTGATGGCGGAGTGCTGGCGGCACGAGGCCGCCTCCCGGCCGCACTTCGCCGACATCGGGCCGCTGCTGGCCGAGTGCCGGCCCGAGCAGGTACAAGCGAAGGCGTCGAGCAACGAAGGGCCGCACATGCTCAGCTACCGGGTGGGGGATGTGATCACGGTGCTCGACAAGAAGTAAGTTTTTATAGAGAGTTTATTATATTTCAGAGGCTGAGATACACCCTGTATGTACTTCAAAGATCATTTCTTGTATAGGTCGCGTGCACGAAGACCGACCCTGGAGGCAAAATATTGAAACACAACCTCATTCTTCTGTGAATTATTGAAACACAACCTCACTTTTTTATTTGGTTACAGAGGAATCAAAAGGTTAAAATAGTTTTTCACAATATTTTGGCATACGAATCGTGTTTCTTGCGTTATTCATTAATTCAAGCATGCCTTCGCATTGTGCTGTTGTATAATGCACAGAAAATGCAGCAAGAGACTAGAGAATATGATTTTTCAGGTAAATAGTAATCTCACATAGTTAGCATTATGAAATGTTGTCATATCTTATTAAAATTCCTTCTGCCTTCTGCCACTTCTGCAATACAAGCTAATGCTGCTAATAGATTGAAAATGTCTACAACACACACGATCGTCAGCATGTCAGACCAGTCCTACCGATTGATTGCATGAATCCAATCTTCTTGCATTATTCTAGAAATTTCAGGTATATTTCTATTAGCTGATCCTATTGCAGAAGGAATTCCGATGAGAAATCAGAGAAATAACCAAATTTCAAAAATGAAAACTATGTGGCTGACTATAGTAGGTACTTACTTTTGAATCATAATGTACCATCCGGATGTCTTCATCTTCCGCTGCAGTTTTTGTGCATTTTACAACAGCACAATGTGATGGCATTAGCGAATTGATGAATAGCGGAAAAATACGATTCATATGCCAAAATAATTGTGGAAAACTATTTCGATCACTTGTAAACAAATATGTTTTGCCTCCAGGGTCGGTCATCTGACAGTTCTTGCACGCGACCTATCGCCCACCCCATTATGAATGTGTCAAGGACTTACTACCGGGTCTTCATTAATGACTGTACCCCACGTGACCAAATTGAAATTGCCGCTAAGATTTGTCGATCTCAAGTTGGTCGCAATGGACTATCAGTAAACCAGTGTTGCCGGTAGGCGTGTAATCACCAGAGTTCCGGGAAATTCCAGCCAAGATGCATTGGGTTGTTCTCCGACGAGGAATGATAATTATTCGTTCAATCTATGATTGCTACGATACACTTTGGTCCCTACGGATTTTCTGAAGATAATCAAGGACTCACTTGAGTGCAGGAAATGCAAAATAATTTATCATGAAACGTGTCATGTAATTTCCATTATTCAGATAGGCAACCCTGTACTGAACAACCATTTTACCATCGAAGGTTCGACAGGAGGCATTATATTGGGTGTTGCAGTGGTATTAATTGCGTAAATGAGTGTTAATTATAATAAATCGACTTTATCGATTGATTTTCGATTACGCGATGAAAAACCTTGTGATAAATAGGTTTATTGACTTCAATTCGCGATACTGAGCAGAGCAATCGATCCAAATGAAGGATTTGTGTTTAGCATAGCATATGGTTATGGCAGCACCAAACTGAACATACGATTTCACCAAATATTGAACAATAATAATAATAATAATGTCTTTATTGGACAAGAAGATTTGCAACATAGTAAATAGAACAAATATTATCATGTCCCAGGCGAGGTTCAGGTACTCCCCCAAGGGGGAGCCCTGCTCTACCACCTAACCTGTGTAAAATTTCAAACATTTTCCAAAACATACCCGTACAAAGCCAGTACCCGCCAAAATACAATAAAAATTAAATATCTATATGTAAATACTTAGTGCAGGAAATGAAAGAATACAATATAAATTCAGAATGAGTAAATAATGAAATTTTATATATTATGAATATTGGATTATGGATATTATGAATATTGTGAATATTGACGCTGATGGCAGTAGGAGAGAGAGAACAAAAGTATGAGTAACAGGAGTACAGAAAAGACAGAAGAGATATAAGATGCGGAAACTTATAGAGACAAGAAAAATAAAAAAAGGGATGGTATACATCAGGAAAGGATTATAGCGGGTTCAGAATGGTTGCTTGAATGATCCATCAAGTATTGGTTTTTTTATTGACCTGCGAACTGCATGTTTGTTGGTATTGTTAAAGCTTGGTAAGTTATTGTAGATTTTGGCCGCGGTATAAGAGAAGCTTCTCTCGAAAAGTGCAGTTTTATGAGATGGTATTGAAATATTATTTTTAGAACGGATATTAGCATCATGTAGATTTCTGCGAAAGTCCAACTTATCAAAAAGATATTTGGGCTTATTGTTAATTATAATATTATGTATGAAACAACTGTAATTCAAGAGCCATCTCTCCTTCATATTGAGCCACCCCATTTCTTTAATTTTATTTGATATTGGACAGTTTCTTTTGATTCTTCAAAAAAATTATTTTTTCTTCTGTTGAAGTTGTCGATGATTTCAACACAATATAAATCCATTTTCTAGGATGTGTTCAATCGTATGGAGTGGCAAAATACGTTGAATGTGGCTTGCATAATTTTAAAATCAGAAATGATGGTGATGAAAACCTAAAATTTAAAAATTATCGATTTTTAACATCCTGTATGAAGAATATGGAAAATTACAAAACCGTTTCGAGATATTGGCTTGAACGTTCGAAAAAAATGATTAATAGAAATATAAAAAAAATCCCTGAAATACGGGAGCGTTTGAATTCTCTCATTTTTGTAATACTTTTTTCGAACACTTGGTGTATAATGACAGAAAAACTCCCGACGAGTTTCGAACAAGGAATCTTGAACAGAAAGATCGAATCTTCCAAACACTGCATTCTAATTGAAAATCTATTAATTTTTCAAAAAAGTTATGACACAGTGATCCACTTGCTTCTTTGAGCACTTTATAATTCCATATAATAATGTTAGCCCTCATTCATTCAAACAAGTCCGAAATCGTCCAAAAGTCTTATTCCCAACCTGCCGTTAATCCATGCCTCCGCTTCGCCAGAACGCACCAGCCGCTGTGGAAGGGCGCCACCGCGGGCGGCAAGACCGGCCCCTTCGACCCCGCCAACGTGGTCGCCTACCTCGGCAGCGACCTGCCCGGCTCCTCCTTCCTGCGCGCGGACAGTGCGCGGTCGTCGACGCGCCGCAAGCTGCGCAGCGAGATGATCAGCGCGCCGCAGGGTGACGTCAAGCATACGGGTCACGTCGGCCTCGACGGCGCCTATTTCGGGGACTTGAGCTTCTTGGACGGGTCCAAAGGCAATGTGAGTCGGTTTACTTTATTCGAAACGTTCTAGGTTCCACCCTGATGGCCGGAGCGAGAGGGAAGTTGACTAAGGAAAGAGTGTGAGTTCGAATACTTCAACACTTTTATGCACGACCGGGCGAACAATAGCGGCGTATAAATATCTCTTGATAGCCATTCCTGTATCATTCAGGACATTATATTTTAGTTGTGATGATTCCTTATCTAATAGTACAGTTCTCTTGATTTCTCTGAGATGCAAAATGATATGATGAAACCTCGGATCAAACCCAAAATAAGTTCTGTGAAGACATCAATTGACAGGGAATATAATAGTCTACTCCTATTTCAAGAAATTGACTGAGTTACCATGGTAATGTCGATTCCATCAATGATTCCTCACTGCAGCAAGAGATTCACAAATATACCGATCGTGCATAAAATGTATGGTGGTGATTATTACACAACTTTGCGCCCTTGATACATATATTACTATAATGACGAAAATGCATGAATAGGCATCGAAAATGGGCACAAAAATACTGGGGAAGTTGACATTGTAACACAAAACAATCATCAAGAAGTACTTACTTGGATGAGGAAATGTGTCTCCTTCGTTGAGTCACTTTCGGATATTCCTACTTGAGGGGCTTACAATTTAGATGCTCTACTGAATAACAAAAATTATGATTTTCACTCTAGCAGCAGAATTATTGCCGATAATATTTTTTCAGGGTCTCGAATGTTTTTGTTGATTAAAAATTATCGCGAGTCGAAGACAAGAATATGAGTGATAACGAGAAAAAAATAAAAAATTATCGGACATTAATTCTGCTGCTTGGGAGATTTGGTAAAAAAATTCCATAAATTGGAGTTGCTTTTAATCTGGTGAGAAAAAGATCCCTACGACATATTCTGCGTTGATGTCAAATGAAATTTCACACTAAGGGATAACTCGTTTTTATAAATAATGAGTGAGAACCATTAAATAACGAATTTGTTATCTGGAATCCAATGTCTTCATAGGTTTAAATTCAAATAAAACTTGAAAAAACATATTTCCGATGAGTTTAGTTGAATATGTATAAGTTGATTTTATTTGTTAGTAACTAAGGTTCATTCTTAAAATTTCAGGAACATTAAAAACATTGATTCATTTTCAACCATAACTTCTACATCTACATAGTTTCAAATGAAACTTGAAAAAAACATATTTCCGATGGTTTTAGTTGAATATGACGCACTATATTTTTACAATAGAAGTTGATTTCACTTTCTAGTAATTAAGGTTTATTACTAAAAGATCGATTATGTGGTATTGAAGTGTTCGTGAAAAAAATACCCTTTTAAAAATGGTAAGGAGCCATCCTTGTTCTATTTTAAAAAATTGAGTCAACATCATAATGTAACGTTATTCGGTTGCAAAAGCGAACACGACACTATTTATTTTCGAACGGATTTATTTGAACTAAAGAAACACTAATTTATATCGAACTTATAACTACAATTTATGTTCTAGAAGCTTCTTAGAACAAAACCTCTCTCTCTAATTGTTCCATCGATTGTTTCCAGAACATTCCAGAATCTTCTGTGACGTTATTTGTCACTGCGGCATATATTGAGTGTTCGGAAATATGCTGGTGTATATAGGAATCATTGGGAGGTTGGAGAACAATCTGGGATGCGTCATACAGGATGATCGTTGTACTCCTGTCTTACTGATGATGTTACTAGAGCCCCTCTAAGGGAAATATCATTATAATAATTACGAAATGGAGTTACGGGCAAAAAACCGAAAAAAGTTCGAAAATTTTGCTGTTTTTTGCGAATTACTCGGAACGCTCCAGGAAATTTTGTTTGCAAAATTCAGATTCGGATTCAGCACCTCAAAAACCATTTGAAACCACAGAGAAACCGACTACTTGAATTCTTTCCGAGTGAAAATACCATTTGATTGGACTATTTCGATCCTACACACGACACGACCCGCCCCTTCATGTCATCAACCTACCCTTTTCCAGTATGGCGCCGTTCCCACGCAAGTGGTGGCCCCTTACCGTCCGCACAAAGACCTCGAGGCCGCCCCCCTGCTGCTCGACCCGCCCGCCCCCCTCCAGGACCACGAGTACCACGAGATCAGCGACGAGGAGCGGGGGGAAGAACTGGGCGACGGGGAGTCGCACAGCCCCGGCTTGGACCTGGGCCCGTCGCTGATGGCCGAGATGGAGATGATGTTCAGCTCGCTGGGGTCGGGGGGGCATCGAAGGGGGAGCAGGGAGGAGCATGGGCATGGGGTGGTGGACCACCACGAGGGCTCCAACAGGTGAGCGATGTTTTTTTTTGTTTCCGAGAATTTTTCGGTGTCGATTCTGAACTTTTTGGCTCTGCAGGGGGATTCTGTTTCACGATCGTCGATTGTCGTACGGTACGATGATGAACTCGGAAGTCATATCCTATTCTCAATTTCAGAGGATTTTGATCCTTCATGCTCTCTTTTTGGATATTCAACAGATATAATTCAATGTTCGACGTGGCAAATAGCCAGGAAAGTAGTTGTTTTCTGTTGAATATTCAGAATTATATTATATGCATATCTTTATATGATGGAGAATGCAAATTCTCTACTTCAGAAGATCTTGTTTTCAAATTCTCATCGTGTGTGTTCAATAGATGTAATTCAATATTCGTCGTGGCATATAGCCAGGAAAGTAGTTGTTTTCTGTTGAATAAACCGTGAAAGAATTGATATTTTCATCACATGGAGAATGCGAATTCTCAATGTATCTCTTTATATATATATATATATATATATATCCATTTTTTTTGTGTTCATAAATATATCTGAGAATGTTCCTTTTTGGATAATATGTTATTGCAGGAGCAACGAGTTGAAAGAAAAAATGGGGACGACAAAAAGTAGGAAGCAGGCGACTGTGAAGCCGATTTCGGCGCATGATCAAAAAACTTTAGATACGGCTATCGCGATGGCCAATGAAATTACAGCTAGGTAAGGAAAACCAGGAATACTTCATATTTATTTTGTTAAAAAAAATTGTTTTGCTATCTACATTCGATTTTTTCATTTCAGTATAATAATCGGCAAGTGGATTTTTTTTCAGAATCTACACTATTCCTTTCATGAAAAAAATTTTGGTATCTTGAAATAACAAATAGAGTAACATCCTCACTCAATTCTGTCACTCATTATAATAACATGTACAGGGTTAGGCATATGTGTGGAAACACCTTTTTTCTAACTGAACCAAAAGTAATGTTTTTTTTTTATCAAGATTCATAATTTTTTCTGTTCTACACAGTGGCCAATGTTGATTTTTATTAACTATGATATTGTTGTAAATATGACGCAGTCAGCAGTTTTTTTGAATGGATCACAGGGTGATATTATTGCAAATTTAGTTTCACCCTAAAGAGCTGATCTCATCAATTCATCGCACTTGGGGTCCAGCGAGAATGATTACAGAGATATAGGGTGTTCAACGAGATTTTTCAAATTTAGAATGTTCTTGTGTCAAAACTATTCTTTGTTCTTAATTGGTCGAAACGGCTTACATGTCCCTATCTTAGAGTCCTACAGGGTGATCAGAATTCTGAATCTTGAACCCTGTATTTGTTCCAATTAAATGTCAATAGATAGTGAATGGAAAGTTAACCCTATATCTCTGTAATCATTCCCGTTAGACCCCAAGTGTTCTGTATTGATGAAATCAGCTCTTCATGTTGAACCTAAAATCGCAATAATATATAGGGTGAACCATATGAGAAAACTGCTGACTGCACCATATTTTCGATAACATGTTAGCTATCAAAAATCAACATTGGCCACTGTTGTGAACAGAAAAAATTATAAAAGTCTTCGTAGAAAAGAAAAATACTTTTGGTTTAGTCAGAAAGTAGGTATTCTTCATGAAGTAGTCAGTTTTACATAGATTCAGTTACAGTTTAGGTTATTACTGGTGCATCTTTTAAAGTTTTAACTTTTTTGTTTTCTCAATTTTTAAGATCAATGTCGGCTCCTGCTCCTACGACACCTGCATCGCCCAATAAGAAGAAGTTCAGTTTCAAATTTCCATCAGTCCACGACCATGATAAGCACAATGAGAGAAGGAATTTTTCGGAAGAGGCTTTGTCCACTTCTGATTTACAGGTATGCCAAATACGGACATTGTTTCACTTCGAATTCGGAATCGGTTAGGTTTCCTAGAAAAACTGGTGAATATTCTGGTTAATGAATGAAGAGGTAATTTCATTATAAAATATATTCAGATTATGAATTGAAATATGGAAAACAAAAATTGGAAAATGCTAGAATTATTTATTGACAGATAGAATGATAAATTTACCTTACTTTGAAGTAATTTATTATTCACCAGTTTCATAGATAATTGAACACTGTAGAACATTAGCTATCACTTGAATGTCAGTGTAATTGTTCAATCTACTAAAAATACAACTGAATTTTCATCTATAATACAAATAAAGTCGTTGATTCATCGTGAAAATAACGAGATTGGTTTATGGAAATAACGGATAGTCAAAGAGGCGGCTGTGAATTTCACCGTCATCTGATAAAGAAATGATATATTATGTCCCAAAGACATGTAAATACATTTATTTTATCGGGGTTGGGGTAGCCCCAGGAACTTTGGTGTACCTTGTGCCTTAGTTCGTCAGGGAGAGGGTAGCCCCAAGCGATCCTATCGCCAGGCATCATAGGTAAAGCCGGGTCCTCTCCGAGGTAGAGGAACGTGTAAAAGTCCTCGAACGATCACTCATTCAACGGGACGAGAGGATTCTTGTCAACATGAGTAGCAATCAGGCCAAAGCCTCTTGCGACGGAGACCCATCAAATGTAACAAGAGGAATCTTGTTGACATGGGTACCGGGGGTGATGAGGATATCCCCATTAGGTCGTACATACGGTCTGATGCCTCACCAATTGGTTTGGGCTCTAGGGGGCAGTGGTTTCCAAAAAAACACCACCGGACTACGGTAGAGGAGGTGAAGAAGAATCCCAGTATGGGTCAAGTGGGAGAATATCTTGCCTGCCTCGGCGGGTGAGCAGCGTTTCTGCTCGGGGTCTGACACTGCAGAGCCAGTAGTCTGTTTTATCAGACGGCCTCACCATTGGTATGATAAAATGGTAGCAGGAGAACATGCCGTTACATAACGGAGATGGCTCTAGCGCGCTGATTTGGCGTATCCAAATCCTCCATTTCTCCCTGGGGTGCTGTCGGTATAGGTCTATGACAGGTGACCGGCAGACATCCCTAGGGGAGACTTGTGAGATGGGGGTGGGAATTGGTCCCACCCGTTGCCACCCAGGCAACATCGGATGATGATGATGAGCCCCAGGTGACTCCAGGTACCTCTGGCTAAAAAGCTTGAGGTCCCCACTCTCGTCATGGTAGCGGTACGTGTGAAAGGCCGCGAACGGCCACCCATCAAACGGGACTGGAGGATTCCGATCGACATGGGTAGCTGGGCTTGCTCAGCGAAAACTGGAACTTTGGTGCACATTGTGCCTTAGTTCGTCAGAGAGGAGGCAGCCCCAAGCGATCCTACCGCCAGTCATCGTAGGCAAAACCGGGTCCTCTACTGTAAACGAGGTAGAGGAACGTGTAAAAGTCAAACGATCACTCATTCAACGGGACGAGAGGATTCTTGTCAACATGAGTAGCAATCAGGCCAAAGCCTCTTGCGACGGTGACCCATCAAATGTAACAAGAGGAATCTTGTTGACATGGGTACCGGATATCCCCATCAGGTCGTACATACGGTCTGATGCCTCACCAATTGGTTTAGACTCCAGGGGGTAGCGGTTTCCAAAAAACAACACCGGACTACGGTAGAGGAGGTGAAGAAGAATCCCACTATGGGTCAAGTGGGAGAATATCTTGCCTGCCTCGGCGGGTGAGAAGCGTTTCTGCTCGGGCAGTGACTCTGCAGATCCAGTAGTCTGTCTTTATCAGACGGCCTCAGCATTGGTATAATAAAATGGTAGCAGGAGAACATGCCGTTACATAACGGAGATGGCTCTAGCGCGCTGATTTGGCGTATCCAAATCCTCAATTTCTCAATTTCCCTGGGGTGCTGTCGGTATAGGTCGAAAGATAAGTGACCGGCAGTCATCCCCTATGGGAGTCTTGTGAGAGGGGAGTGGGAATTGGTCTCACCCGGTTGCTACCCCGGCAACATATTGATTATTATTATTGTGCCAATCACTATCCTGAGTAAAATGATTGAAAAATGGCACTTTCCTGTGCGGTAATTTGCATTTGATTTCACGATAGCGAGACGAGGATTATGCCATCCGATTCCAATTGAATGGTAGATCACAAAAACATACCTTTATCCCTTTATCTGAGTCTAAGTCAAATCCACTTATCTGAGTCTAAGTCAAATCCACGGCACACCGTTTTATTTGCTGCCATTAATCCAGACATACTTAAGTCATGTGAATGCGAATATTCAAACGTGCCGCGATTCAGACTGAGCTAAGTTAGTGGCAGAGTGTCAATATTTCCGAGAATATTTCACCCCTCTCGAAAGATAATATCCGATAGACCAGTGTTCAACTCATGTGGTGCTCGCACTAAAAGTATTCAAATCCACATGTTGAGGAGTTTTACACTGGTTCATCGGATATTATCTTCTGAGAGTGGCGAAAGATTACCGGAAATGTTGACGCTCTGTCACTAACTTAGCTCAGTTTGAATCGCGGCACCTTTGGATATTCGCAAAGAGGACATTATCCCCTTTCATTTGCTTTTCATTTCGACTCGTTATCACATGACGGAATAATGTCCGGAATAACGGCAGCAAATAAAACGCTGTACCATGGATTTGGCCCAGATTCAGGTGTAGCACAAGTAGGTTTTGGTATTGGTATAGGTTGACATGATTCTTATCTCATTATCAAATCGCGGAATCGAGTACAAAATAACGCACATGAAAGTGCTATTTTTCAATCATTTTGTTCAGGATAGTGATTGGCACAGGTGCTGTTCGATAAAATACAATGATTTTACATGCCTTTGTAACATATATTTCATCGTAAGAACAGATGTCAAAAATTTAAGTATTTGTGCAAGTTCATCAATTGAGTAGTGTATGAACGTACACCCTTATATCACCGTTCATAGAAATTCTTATTGGACGATGCTCATATGAAAACAATCTATCTCAGATTGACTCCAAGATAAGATATTTATTGTTCACTGTCTAAAAATGTGTTGTTCTTTCACAAGAAGAAAGAACTTTACATAACATTTATATTGTTGACAATGCTGTTTTGGTTTATCAAAAATGTCAACCATAACAAAGTATTCGCGGTCGCCAAGGTCACTAGATGACGTTCTGATGACATAAAAAAATACGGAAAAACATGTCTAACTTTCATTATTATGAATCTATGCCATGGATTAGGATATTTTCCCGTAGTTTTGAAGTCATCGCAACGTCACCTTGGCGACCGCGATTATTTCATGGTAGAAAACAGAATGTTCAAATGTGAAAGAAAAGAAAAATGATGTGGCCAATGTAAACAAATAGAAAAGCTCAAGTTATGGTTAGACTTGATCAGTCTTGTGTTTTTCACTGTCAATGTGTGACTTTACGCCCAATTTTATATTAACAAAGAAAAATACAGGGTATGTCACGACGAGACGAGCTTACACTATCTTTATGTCGAGAATCAGTCGGGAGAAATCCATGAAAATGTACATGCTTATATTTTAGAATAAGCTCTTTTCATTTAAAACATTTTCGACAATGCAGTGTTGCCGCTTCTAATAGAAAGTAGTAGCAACATTGATATTTCAAATGGAACACCCTGTATTTTATCGCATTTTCAGATTCTCCCTGAAGAGCTGATTCTATCGATATATCACACTTGGCGTCTATCGAAAAAGATTACAGTGATATAGGGTGTTCAAAATCGAGATATCTCAACTTTATGATTTTTTTGTGTCGAAACTATTCATTATCGGTCAAAACGGCTCACATGCCCCAATTTCAACTTTTGATTCACTATTTACTGATATTTATTCGGAACAGCTACAGGATGGCTCAAGATTCAGAAGTTTGATCACCCTGTATCTGTCCCGATGAAGTATCTGTAAATAGTAAATCAAAAGTTGAGATAGGGACATGTGAGCCGTTTTGTCTGATAATAAATAGTTTCGACACAAACAACTCCTAATGTTGAAAAATCTCGATTTTGAACACCCCATATCTCTGGAATCATTTCCGATAGACCCCAAGTGTGATGTATCGATGAAATCAGCTCTTCAGGGAGAATCTAATGATGCAATAAAATACAGGGTATGCTATTCGAAATAATAAATTTGTTGCTACTATTCGATAGAAGCGGCAACACTGCAATGCTGAAAATATTTAAAATGAAGAGAGTGTATTCTAAAATATAAGCATGCATATTTTCATGGATTTCTCCCGACTTATTCCCGATATAGAGATCGTGTAAGCTCGTCGTGACATACCCTGTATATCTTAGGAAGAGGCCAGATCAGATCTTCCAACTTTGAAATCACATCTAAGTAGTGCGATCTGATAGACAATTAAAATATGTTGGCCCTCATTATTAACACAAGTTGGCCGTTGGTACGAGGGGTACGTCATATAAATATGCCTTATACTGTTCAAGTTCCGATATCATTGGCAGTACCTTCTATCTAAACCAGAAATTCCATAATTATGACAAAAGTTCATCTATTTATGGGATCAAACTGGAGTCTATGGGACATGCGATCATAAAAAAAACTTGCATAGGATATTTTCAATATGTAGTTTGTGGATAACTATTCTTCTCATAGATGAAGAAACCCAACGTCATCTCTCATTCGTCTTTGGGTTTCTTCATCTATGAAATATACCACGCCACTTTGAGTTACCATGGACTTCTTCCAAATATTAACTACTCTTCTATTTAACATCACAAGTTTGTTCTAATAAGTAATTAGCCAGTCGTACTGGTCGAAAATACCGGAACTTGATCACTGCAAGCCCTTTAGCTGTGTGTTTTCGTGAGATGAATCAGTAGTTTCGTAGCATTCTCACACATATACTAACTCTAAATTTTTTCCCTCTCTTTCAACCCCCGATTTTCTCCCCGTTTTGTTTATCCCCCTGCATCCGCTCCTCCAGAAGTTCGTCAGCTCCCCCTCTTCCATCGACGAACCCTCCCACCGGTCCCATTTGCGCCTACCCCTCTGGGACCAGGCCTCCGCCGAGTTCTGCTTCGCCAAGTCCCGCGAGCTCCTCACCAGGCCCTTCCCCTCCAATCCCTTCGCGCCCACTTCCTGTCGCAACCTCGACAGTTTCCCCTTCGAAGAAAACTACTACCATCATCACCAATTCCGTCCTGGGTATAGGGACAGAACGCTCACCAAATCGGAGAGCATGACGAGAAAGAACTATTCAGGGGGGCACCGGTTTTACCCCCAATTCTGTGAGACGTCCTACGTGTATTATAAGGCTGACGCTGAGGCGTTCGACAGACCGCGCACGCTCAGCTTCAACGAGGCTCGGGAGCCATTTAAGCGCAGCTCGCGGCGCAGCATCCGAGATCGGAATCGTAGGCGGCAATCGTACAACCCGATCGCGTACGAGTCGAGCTCGAGCGACAGCGATTGCGTCAGCGCCTGCTCGGTGGATCTAGATTGGAGCAGGCGCCGTAGACTGTCGAAGCTAGCCGGATCGACGATTAGCGTTCGGTCGGAGATGGTGCGCAAGGTGACCAATCCGTTCTTGAAGCCCGGTTTCAACGTGAAGGTGACCGGCAAATCGCCGCCGCCTAGTAATAGCGTGTTGAGCGGGTTGTCTCCTACGTCGGTGTCGAGGTGTCAGAAGTTGAGGAATTCGACCAGTTCGGATTCTAGCTTGTAGGTGGGGGGTGGATCGGTGTCGGTTCGGTGATTGGCGTAGGAGGCGGGAAAGTGCTCGAATGCAAGGCACATGGAGGTTTCAGATGGTGCCACTTGTATAGAACAGCGTTTCTTTAAATGATGAAGGTTAAAATATTTTTTACCTGCTGCATTTTGATAAAGGATTTCTAACTATGACACGTTTGGTCACTTCAATTCGTAAATAACATAGCAGAGAGCGGCAAATGGAAAACTACTTTATCGTATTTTTGAAAAGGGAATTTACTTTGATTAATTTATATTCTGATCAAACATGGGAATAGTAATGAAATTTCAACAAAATTATAAGTATATTATCTTGTAGGAGGAATTAGGCAATATGCAGCACAGCCAATATCATAGAAATCAACATTCTCTTGATAGGATCATCCAAATCTATTTTGATTCATATTGTATTATGAAAAGGGAATTTACTTTGATCAATTTATATTCTGATCAAATATGGGAATAGTGATAAAATTTCAACAAAATTATAAGTATATTCTCTTAAGTGTAGGAGGAATTAGGCAATATACAGCACAGCCAATATCATAGAAATCAACATTCTTTCGATATGATCATCCAAATTTATTTTGATTCATATCGTATTAGTTATTCAAAACATAGAGAGACGAAGGAGTAGTTTTCAGACCTCCTGCTATTACAAATATTTCTTTATATCTAGTTCCTTCTATGATTCAAGCTGAAGATAATACACACTCGCTTTGTCTAAGCTATTGAGCTCTTGCCAAAAAGGGTGTGGTAGATTGGAACTAAAGTAACGAAAGTATGCCTGGAAATATATTCAATTCAAGAAAATTACATAAATGAATGACATCATTTTATTGTACAGCAACATATATCTGAAAGGGGTTGATAGGTATGAACATTTCGAACATATTTTACCATATAAAATATTATACAAGAACAAAAATATATATAATGGCAGGAAGTAAGGATATTTTAACATAGATATCAGTAAAAAAGTATGTAAAAATATAAGTAAAAGTGATTGAAACTCAATGAAGATGAACAAATTTGAATATGGAATAAAATAGGTAAAGCTGCCCCGTCCTCATATGGTAGATTTCTTATATGCCGTCTTGTACCTGTCAATCGCAGAGACACGGCTCTGATTATGGACATTTGCCCTTGTATGCGAATCCACCCTATTGTTTGAGAAAAGGGCTTCTTGAATTTTCGTGATAATGTATCTGCTAAACGTTTCTAAAAAACGGCATATTCCTGGTGTAATACACCTTCAGCAGAACAAATCAATGGAGTGAAGCCAGCTCTGATGTCTTCTGCTGCACTGTCATATTTTCCTTTCATTTGCTTTGCATGATTATGGGCGATGGTATGCCAGCTTTGTTAAGTAAAAGAGGGTGCGTCGGCATTTATAATGCGGTTATCGAAAAACGCAACTCTTTCAGCTTGAAAGTGATACGAATTTTTAGATATCGTTTTGTCGAACATTTCATCTGATTATATCTTCTTTTCTTTTGAAGTTGAATACGTAGTTCATTGATATTGAATGGGATCCATATGTGATTAAAAAATGTTTTGGCTCGTCAGAATTTTTCAGAACGATTTTCTGTAACATCTAACGAATTTTTAAGCGATGATTTCTCTAAAAGTGTAACACCATATATAAATGGTTTAATATGTTCAAAATCACATTACCTGCCACCTCCTTCCAGATATACGTCGGTGAACCAATCACCCTGTACATATATATTTTATTGTATGTATTACTGAAATTAAATACTTTCTCATTGTCCTCATATAATTTGAAGAACCAACGTGTTTTATTTAATCATGAAATCGACAATCCTAGGAACATTACATAAGCTAGTAGATGCACTTTTCCGAATTTCTACGTTTCCATTTCTAAACCAACTGATAATATTCACCTCCGTAATCAAGTGATCCTAACTTTAAGTAATTGCTAGTATTTTTATTAAACAACGTGCCGTATATTTATACACATATTTATGCTAGTCGAGACATTCCCTCCCATAGAAAGTAGGTAGCGAGTAAAAGTAGGATAGGCGTATGAGAAGATCATCCTTGTAACCCATTCCTTCTTGTTTGTCCTCATTTTCGTTTTTTATTTTCTTTTTTATTGGTTATTTTTCCCTTCAGTCGAAAGTTACCCAGGAGGCTCATGCTGCTTACGAGGGATTGGTAGACAGGCCCCCAAACGAAGTTTCACAGGTAAGAAGGCACAAAATATTCCATGTAGTCCAGGCATTATATCCAAATAACAGACCTTACCCTTGAATTTTTTTTAGTGTTTTTTTTTTCATAGGTGTCTCGGGGGGTCACTGGGAGTGTAAATTCAAAATGGCGACCAAATCAAGCTATTGCGTATGTTGTTGCTGTTTTTTTGTTAAAAAACGGTTTTTCTTGAATAACTCGACCATTTTTGATTCTACAGAAAAAGTTTGGGGACAAAAATTGTAGTAAATTTGGTTTTCTACAAGTTTGGTCCTTACATTTTTTCTGATAGGATCGATATTTTGTAAATTAAACCTGAAAAAAGCGACAAATTCGAAATATTTTCATTATCTCGTTTATTTTCAACTTTACGGCATAAATGAACAGAAACAAACTTGTAGAGTATCAAATTTTGGACAAATTTTGTCTTCACCTGTTTTTCCGAAAATCGATATTTTCGGAATTAAACCTAAAAAAAAAACGACTCATTCGAAATATCATCATTATCTGGTTTATTCTCAACTTTACACCATAAATGAGAAGAAACAAACTTGTAGAGAATCAAATTTTGGACAAATTATGTCTTTACCTGTTTTTCCGAAAATCGATATTTTCGGAATTTAACCAGAAAATATCTACCTATTCAGAAATATTCGCAATATCTCCTCTTTCAATTCTGCAGGTGCAACGAATAGGGCGAAAGTTGTATACAATAAAATGAAAATGATATTTCGAATTTGTCGCTTTTTTTAGGTTTAATTTACAAAATATCGATCCTATCAGAAAAATTGTGAGGACCAAACTTGTAGAGAACCAAATTTACTACAATTTTTGTCCCCAAACTTTTTCTGTAGAATCAAAAATGGCCGAGTTATTCAACATACGCAAAAGCTTGATTTGGTCGCCATTTTGAATTTACACTCCCAGTGACCCCCCCCCCCCGAGACACCTATGAAAAAAAAACACTAAAAAATTATTCACGGGTCAAAGTCTATAATGACTGGACTAATGTTGCATTAAAAGTTTCAAAGGAAATCGGCGATACATATACATATTTTCTTTGTATACGAAATATTATGTTAATTCTGTGGGTTCTTGGTAATGGAGTTAAAGTACATTTCGAGTCAGGAGTAGTTTCTGCTGATTAAAAAAATGGAATTCGGTGTCCAAGTATAGTACATAAATATGCATTTTTGACGTATTCAATTGTATTCTGTCACTTCAGGTTTGACCGGAAATGATCCTCCCGGTATTTTTTTACTTATTTCAATATACATGGTGTTAGTGAAGAACTGCGACAAACTTGATATTTCAGGAAATAATGTTCATATAAATATGTGTCTTAACTTGCTTCGTTTTTGGTATACAGGATGTTGAAGTTAGAAGTATTAATTGTTTTTATTTATTAAGCCCCTGTATAAGCTTTCATAGTGCCAAATTCATTATGTTTGGAGACTGAAAAGGTCCCAAAATTTCAAAATGATTCATATTGAGGTTATTGAGTAATCTCAATGAATGTTTCGAGAGCACCTACATTAAAATTTTGAGTCAAATCGAATTTATAGTGTTTCCTCAAATACTAAGCAAGATTGAAAAAAAAACAAAGAGGATAAGAAAGTTGCTATTTCAATTGTTCAATCTAATAAAAATATGAAAGTCAGAATAACCAGTACAATGATTTCAACTGTAAATATCGATAAATTAACCCACTGTGCCGCCACTGAAAATATTATTCTGAATTTTATCACATCAAAAGAAGCTCCATGTTACATTCAACGAAACCATCAAGTTTCATTAAAATTGGTAAAAAGACATCTGAGTAATGATTGTAATGATTGTTCATGGAAATATTGATACCCTGTATCTCGAAAATGAAGTAAGTTAATTTCTGAACTATCACAAGGAATCACTCCCTAAAATTGGTCGCACTTATTCACAAACACCCTGTATAATCACATTGTGAGTACAGACAACTCATTTGTCAATTTTTGACATTCATCACCCTGTAATTTTCAATTTCTAATTTTAAATCTAGAGTGCCATGAATTAGTTAAAATGGTTAATTTTGGATTAAGTTGCCGGGAAGAAAAATTTTTTCTTTTCATTTCTTTTATAGGTTCCTTCAAAGTTCAAAAAATAGTATTTATGATGTGAGTAAACACAATTTTTTCAAATGTAATAAAGGTGTCTCATCACGAACAATTTGATACCACACAGCGTTGAATAACATCCTGATGACACAATGGATTGAAAATTTGATAAACGTCAAAAAGTGATATATGGAGTGCCATTGTACGCACATTGTGATTTTCTATTGAAATAAGTAAAAATATTCCGGGTGTTCCATTGAAAATAAACAATTGAATACGTGCATATTTATTTTCTATACTAACACACCGAATTTCATTCGTTTATCTGCACCAACAAAAAAGTTGTAGGGGTGAGCCACTTTTGAGAACCACCCGGTATAGTGTGTATTAGCAAAATGGAATAAATTCGATAATGAATAAAGGGGGGCTTGTTCGAAAATACGCTCGGACACGTCGATTGATATTTTCAAACCTTTAACAAGAAATTTCTATACAGGGTGTGTCATGTAACAGCGGCCGATACCAACTTTCTTATTTCAAATGCAACACCCTGTATTTTATTCAATTTTTAAATAATTCTTCAGAGAATCCTAGACCTATTTTATGCACAATGTCCTATACCAACCTACAACTGTTTCGGAAATTCAATATTGAATTTTGTTAACTGCATATCAGAAAAATGGTTCATTCCACAGAAATGCACAAAATAAGAATTATATTTCTAATTCCAATTGATTATTACGATTGAATATAAACACAAGAGTCTTTCATTCAAGCAAATAAAATCAAAAGTCGCTAGCTGTCGATAGCCTTGCATATTTGTTTGGAATCAAGTGACTAATAACGAATCAAATGAGTTATGCTAATGAAAATATTATTACAGTTGATGTTGACGAATCCACTGAAAATTTTGAGATCAGGACAGCCAGTTATTGCTAGCAGAACGAGATCTTCCAGTGTGGCAAGCACTTTACCTCCGAAATTCGGCACAGCTGGTAGAGGTTCGGTGCCAGAAAATTTGAATGTTCGCCAAGGTATAATTATATGTATATAAGTTTGTGGATTTCAATTGCTAACTGACTTCTGCTCACTGCTGATTTTCATATTTCATATTAACTATACAGGGTGATCTATATAAGAATTATTCAGGGAGCAAGTAAGCTCAAGACTTTGAGTCGTTGTAATTATATTATAAAATGACATATCAATGTCAGGCCATTGTTGTTCTGAATGAAAACCTAATTGGAGCACTAATTTGTTCCAATAGAATATTTTTTAATGAACAGACAATATTATATCTATACTAACTAGGTTTTCATTTAGAATGACAATGGTTAGATCATCAAATAAATACGTCTATTCAAAGTATACAGTGTCCGTTTAAAGTCCGCTTCCTCCAACTAATTTTTGAACCACCTGGTATATCACAACGAAATTTGAAGGTTTTTTTTTTTTCAATTGACTCGGCCGTTACTTGATGGAAATCCATGATAAATGTAAAAACTTCACAAACGATAAGATTTCTACAAAATGTATTAAACACACGACATGTTTCGCTCGTCAGGTGATATACTGGTACAATGAACTAAACTAACGTTGGCTTGCTTAACTTTTATATATCTTACCTTCCCAAACTGAAGGATTAGTTACCTGTGGACAGGTACGATAAACCTTCATTTTCGGAAATTAGGCACAATATCTACATTAAATTACGGTATACCGGATTAACTTGAAAGAGTTGATATCAAATACATATTATTACTTACTAAGAAAACAAATTCAACAGTGGTGAACTATTAAGGTCTAATTGATCATTAAGTAAAATGTCAAAATTTTTGAGTTTGTTGATTTCTAATGATTCAAAATGATTGAGTTTCAGTCCTTTATTTTCTATGTGCAGAATTTCAAAATTATCATCAAAACTATGGTTTTCTTCTAATATATGGTTGGCGTATGTTGAATTTGTTTTCTTTTTCAAATAATTCATCTTATGTTCGTGAATGCGCTGATTAAACGTACGACCTGTCTGACCGATTTGAAGGGCTGAAATGGAATATGAATATGTACTTTTTAAAAGGAAAAGTATCAACTTTAAGTTTCAAATTGGCGGCTGAGCGGGAGCTGAACGGGATGTTCGATTTGAAAAAATAATTCAAGAATATTAGTAAGAGTGGAACGGAATTTAGATAGACACTGTATAACATAACTTAGCACCATAGGCTTATCGAACATAGGTCGCGTGCACATTTGACAGATTACCGACCTTGGAGGTAAAACATCCTCACTTATCTCATTATTTTACATTGGATTGAAATAGTTTTCACAATTATTTTGGCATACGAATCATGAAATTGTTGGTTAGGTTAGAGACTTGGCAATGCTGTGCTAAACACTGAGAACTGACAACCCCCAAAATCCTGTGTTGTCACGTTCACCGGACGAAATCTCCTCTAGTGTGAATTAAAAGACAATAGATTTTGTATGACTAATTAAGATTATTACCATAATACATAATTAAGAATTAATGAATCATTAAATGAATAATATTTCTGAAGTTCCCATTCGTATTTCAATATAATATATATGGCAACTGTGCTATGGTCTGCCCGTACTGACGAAATCGTGACGTTAGTTTTTATTTGCGGTAAATTTTTAGTCGTTCGAAAATTACCGTGGCAATATGGATGATTTTGCACTCAGGCCTCTTCAGTCGGGCCCATTGTGCGCCCACTTGTCCTGTGAATCAGCTGGGCATGCCGATTTCTTTGACGAAATTCAGCAGCTTCCTCAGCTGAGTCGCTTTCACATTCTTTGGGTGCAGTACAATGCTCCCAAAGGCAGCTTTCCTCTGATGCACCAGCGCGGGGCATTCAGTGAGTATTCGTTATGATGTTTCATCATCCTCCAAGCACCATCTGCAGATGGGATCATCCTTGATCCCTATGAGTTCTAGGTGCTTGTTGAGGTGGTTGTGCCCAGTTAAGAGCCCAACTACCATCTTGAGATCCCATCTATTAAGTGACACGATCTCCCTCGTGAGCGTTTTTGAAGGTTCCTTTATATGGAGCTTTGATTGTCTCATTCCTGGTGTGTCCCGCCATGTTTCAAGGAACTGCCTATGTAGCATTTCCTTCATGAAGGACATAGCCGTACTATTGGGTATTCCCAATATCGGTTCTGGTCCAATGGGTGTCGTTCCTGAACCGATCTTGGCTAGTCTGTCTGCCTCCTCGTTCCCCGGGATACCAGAGTGTCCTGGAACCCATATGAGGCTGACTTTCCTAGTTTTTGCTATATTTGCTAAGGCACTTCTACACTCGGACACCAATTTATTAATTAATATTAATAATTAATTGGTATTGATTTTAGTTCACCAATATGAAATGATTTGTAAAAATTGTGTATTATTATTTAATGTATTCAAATAGTATATTATTTATTCAAGTTTGTTATAATTGTATAGTTAGGTATTATTGTTAACTATACTTCCTTATACCAGAACTTGTTTCTGACTGGAAGTCACATTTTCAATAAAACAAAAATCCATTTTAATCAAATAAGAAAAGTGTGGTTGTTCTACCTCCGGGGTCGGTCATATGTCAAATGTGCACGTGACCTATTCACTTCATTTCCAGAATTCACGACCGCGACCCTTCCCCGCCACACCCCGCCCTCGCACCCGCCCCCGCCTCGACCCGCTCCCGCCCCCTCCAGAGACGACAACCCCATCCCGCTGCCGCCTCGAGACCGCTCCAACAAGGCGCTGCTGTCGGCGAAGCCGCGCCACACGAGGAAACACCCCCTCATCATACCGCCCACCAGCTTGCAGAGGACGCTGGACAAGGTACGTGGATTCCGAACTAATAGTAGTCATCACAAATCAAGCAAAGTCCATCAATTGGCACGAACATAAATGCTTGAATTCGATTGAAATGTGCATATAACTGAAATATAGTAGTAACATAACTAGGAACGCACGATGTTTTTTGAACATTATAGGGATTCCCTTTCGTGCGCTTCAAGAGATAAAAAAAAATGAATCAGATCCTGATTACAGAACTCGTCCGCCATATTGGTTCCTCCATTTTGAGATTCCTGATTTTGTCGAAAGAATCATTATCTCCAACTCCGAGAACCCCGAAATACCAATTTTGAATAGGATCGGATCATAATTACAAAACTCGTCCGCCATATTGGATCCTCCATCTTGAATTTCCTAAAGGACCCCGCACTAAACTATAGGAAAAATGGCTCTCGATGAAAATCGCTGAATTTTTGGTATGTTGCAGATTTGATATACTGAACAGATATTCCATTGAACGAACCTCAAAAAATGTTTTTCCGATATAGACCTCCAAATGTCTTTTTTTTGAGAAGAAAAAGTATCTGAAAATGGTTGAATTTTTGTCATGTTGTAGATAGGAATGAACTGATGAAAAAATCCAATTGACCTAACCACCAAAAATTGACAGTTTTCTCAAATAGAATTTTTTCAAGTAAAAAAATCTCTGAAAATGGCTGAATTTCTGGTATGTTGTAGATAGGAATGAACTGATGAAAGAATCCAATTGACCTAACCTCAAAAAATTGACAGTTTTTCGATATTGACCTCCAAGTGTACGTATGGAAAATAAGATGAATGGAACAATAATCAATAGACAAAGTTGCTGTTTTCGAATTAGTATTTGGCGTTTCATTCTTCCAGAAACAAATCTTCTTCATATGATACATCCAAAGGTGAAGAAAACCAAAGAGAGGATGTAATGAAATAAATATTATTTAAAAGATGGTTATATTGCCTTTCCGAAATCAATGTATGCTGTATATCTATTTTATTTTTATCATACCATCTATTATGAAAGTATTCCATACACTCATTCATTCATAATCACCTCTCAGCAACACTATATAGCCGGCGATGACGTAACATTTGACATACTGATACCGATAAACACTTCAACATTTTTATTGCTCAACAACCAATGATAATATTTCCAAATTCTTCATAGAATTGAGGAATTATTTCCACATTAGAAGTGGAGTGTTGTGTACTGACGTATACACAATACATAAATCGTATCGTATAGTATAATTGCAATCAATTGATCGCGGTATATGACGTCATCACGCGTTGTACCGCAATTTCATGTTATGAAATATCATGAATTTCAATAAATATTAACAATATGTAAAGAGATCTGAAGAGAAAATAGTTTGCGACAGTGAACAAAACCTTTCAATTTTTTGAGGTTAGTTCAATTGGATTGGATTCCTATCTACAACATACCAGAAATTCAGCCAGTTTCAGAGATTTTTTTCTTGAAAAAATTGCATTTGGAGGTCAATATCGAGAAAACTGTCAATTTTTGGAGGTTAGGTCAATTGGATTTTTTCATCAGTTCATTCCTATCTACAACATGCAAAAAATGCAACCATTTTCAGATACTTTTTTTTCTCGAAAAACTGACATTTGGAGGTCAATATCGGAAAAACTGTCCATTTTTTGAAGTTAGTTCAATGGAAGATCTGTTCAGTATATCAAAGTCTGGAGCATACCAAAAATTCAGCGATTTTCATCGAGAGCCATTTTCCCTATTGTTTAGTGCGGGGTCCTTTGACGAAGGAATCATAATCTCCGATCCCAATAACCCCCAAATACCAATTTTGAATAAAATCGTATTACAAATCTCATCCGCAATATTGGTTACGACCGATTCTCTCACCTACGGAATAGGTTCATAATAATAATAATAATAATAATAATAATATTTATTTCCAATCATTGAAATTACATAGAATAGTACTTATCAATATGACATATGGGAAATAAAAATGGAGTAGGTAGATATGTAGTGAGTTCACAAGGTTATCTTAATTTGAACTTTCATAGTTATTTCAAATAACTTAAACCTGCCCTTAGACAGGTTTGTCTGTTTCCTTGAAATAACTATATATTCTTCTTAGAATAAGAGTAGTTATTTATAGCTGTCGGTTGGATGCATATGTTATTCAGAAATTATCAAACCTATATATAGATATTTAACATAATAATAACAATAATTATAATATCAGTACTTAATTAACCAGTAATAATACTAATAGTGTTGATGGATCATTCAATCGCAGTGAATGACGAGATAAAAGAACCCTATTGACAATATCATTGTAATAATTGTACTAATGCTAATACCTAACATACCTATTTACTAAAAATCTATATATATCTATACATACACACACACACATATATATATACATATACACACATACATACATACACACACACACACACACACACACATACATACATATATATATACACACCTACTTATATGTACGAGTATATTTAAACCGTATATTATTCTGACAGTAGATCAATTCATTACAACAGGTTGAGCATCTCGAATCCATGTATTCAAAGAATTTTTGAAAAATTTGTGATTCAATTTCACCTTCAAATTTTGAGGAAGTAAGTTGTAAATTTTTGTGCCTACATACAAAAATGTTCTTTGACCTATGGCTTTATTGGTTTTGATTATATTTAACTTATCGTTCAAATTTTGCCTGGTTCGATATATATGTTGTATTTTGTTTGTGAATAGATGATGTTTAATCATGTACAATATTGCCACTTTATAAAAAAGTTGTCTTATTGTCATCACTCTTGCTTTTTTGAAAAGCAAATTTGTTGGATACAAATTACCTAGATTCATTATTGTTTTTAAAATTCTTTTTTGTATTATTTCTAGTGGTTTTAATGTTGTTGTATAAACTCCACCCCAACCTATGATACCATAGGTTAGGTGTGATTGGACAAGTGCATAATAAATTGAGATTTGTTCACTTGTACTTAGTATATTCTTCATTTTCGTGAAAAAATATGATATTGATCTAAGTTTTTTTGTAACGGATTCTATATGTTTATTCCACCTTAAGTGACTGTCTACATTGACCCCCAGATATTTTATATCATCAGCTCTTGATATAGTCCATTGTGGTTGTTTTCTATGTGGTAATTCTATATTGATTTCACTATTTTCTGGAATTGTATATTTATTATTCGTGAATGTTAAGTAGACAGTTTTACCAAGATTAATGGTCAATAAGTTTTCATCTAACCATTTCGTTATTATTCTCAGATCTTTCTTCATATTTAATTCAACTTCCTTCCACGAATTACCATTAACCAGTAGAACGGTATCATCTGCATATGAGATAATTTTTCCAGTACATTTCAAAGAAAGCATATCATTTATATAGCATATGAATAGTATTGGGCCAAGAACAGTGCCCTGCGGTACTCCATACTGAATTAATCTTTTTGAACTCAATCCATCATCTACTTTGGTTCGCTGATATCTATCTTCAAGATACGATTTTATAAGTTTCAAAGCTATTCCTCTTATACCCATGTTTTCTAATTTATTTAATAAAATTTCTCCACTGACTGTATCGAATGCCTTGGCAAGATCTAAAAAGATTCCCGCGCAAGGCATTCCATTATCAAGTGCTTCGTACACGTGACCTGTTAGAATGCCAATTGCATCTGATGTAGACTTATTTTCGCGAAAACCAAATTGTGTATTTGATAGTAGTTCGTTTATATTAAAAAATGTCATCAACCGATTTTTAATAGCTTTTTCGAAAATTTTTGCTACGTTGGATATTAAATTGATCGGTCTATAATTTTTAACAAGATTCTTGTCCCCTGATTTATAGACTGGTATAACTATTGATTCCTTGAAGGCCGCAGGACAGTGTCCTTTGTTGAAAATCAGATTAATAATATGGACTAGTGGTTTGCATATATTCATATAAATTTCTTTCAAAACTTTGACAGTAATTTTATCATGGCCAGGTGAAGAACCATTTTTTAACGAAAATATGTGGTTTTTTATTTCATATTCATCAACTGGGGCCAAAAATATAGAATTTCTACTACTACTATTTGTTCTGATGTTAGTCATTGTTATGTCTTTATCTATTAAATTATTTTCAATTTCTTTTTTCATGTTCTCTCCAATAGTGGTGTAATGAATATTGAATATATTTGTGATTTCGGTTTTGTCTGTTATATTTTCTCCAGATTCTGTTGTAATAGTATGTATTTTTTCCTTTTTGTTTCGATTATTATTCACATAGTTCGTCATTGTTTGCCATATCTTTTTTGGATTATTTTTATTTTTCTTGATAAGTTCTTTGTAATAATTTGTTTTCAATCTATTAGTCAGTTTGGTTATTTTGTTTCTATGTATTTTATATTGTTGTAAAATATGTTCATCGCCTGTTCGTTTAAACTGATTATACAGATTATCGCGCGTTCTCATGGAGGTTATTAGTCCCTGAGTAACCCATGGTTTTTTCTTGTTTTTTTTATTACAACTTATTTCAGTGGTACAGTATTCTACTTGATCCTGTATTTTCTTCAAAAATAGGTTCGTTACCTTCTCAACATCATTTTCAATATATATATCTTTGAAGAATTCATGTTGACCCGTAATTTCCCCTAGTTTTTTATAGTTGGTGAATTTCTGTGTTTCCTTATTCATTTCGTTTCTGTGATATTCATTTTCTTCTATTATAAGTTTCACTAATATAGGATAGTGATCTGTAATTTTTGAATGCAGTACCATAGGTAAAAGACTATTGTTTGTAAAATCGTTACTTTTCAGAAATATATGATCTAAACATGTGGAGGAGTTATTCTCTTCCCTGGTTGGACAATTTATCAAAGATTTGTATCCATTTTCGTAAAAAATATTGAGATATTCATGAATTTCATCAGAGTTCTCTAGAATATTCAGGTTCATATCACCTATTACAATCTTTGTATTACAAATGTCTACGATTTTTACATAGTTTTCAAGTTCTTGGAGAAAATCATTTTTATCTACTGAAGGAGATCTATACAAAGCTGTTATCGAGAGACTTTTCTGACCTATTTTTACAGTGGTTTTAATACATTTGATATTAAGGATGTGTATAATCTCAGTCTTGAATTCGAGGTTATCTCTTACATAAACTACCACACCATCGCTTTTATTGAGTAATCCTTCATTATATATTTTTTTGTAACCTTTTATGTTATAGAAATCCTGATTATTTATTATCCATGTTTCAGTTAAGATTATAATATCTATATTATATTGCAGCTCACTTACTAAAACTTCAAACTCATCGAAATTCTTAGATATACTCCTAATATTGCTGTGAAAGATGGTGAAACTGTGTTTTGTTTTCGATAGTTCTTTTCTACATTCACTGACATTTTCAAGAGTAATTGTTTCAATGTCGTTAGTTTTGAAATCTCTTAAATATCTATCCATCATATACTAAAGTTTTAATGCTCAGATTACCAAAAATTATATTTAATTACAGGAAATTTAACCTATCAATTATTTTTCTGCCTTGTCGTTCTTCTTTCCTTTGGACTTGAATTGGATTTCTTTCTCTTCTTGTTGACCTTATTTGTTTCTTTCTTCTTGTTTGATGATGAATTTCCGTCTTCTTTATTTTGTACTTGTTGCTGGACTTCAGTGGTGTTTTTTTCTTGGTTTACTCCAGTTATTTTACAATCACCTGATGTTTGATCTTCCTCGCTATCTTCATCACTGTCTTCAGCACTATCGTATTCTATGTCTGATTCATTTTCTTTCAGATCTTCTACTGTAAACCACTGGCCTTCAATTTCAATTCTATTCCCTCTAATTCTTGCTATCTTGTTTTTCTGTCTCGCTTCCTTAAGATGCTGTCTGAGCACCTTTTGGTCTTCTTGGTCTTTATTGCAGAGGTCGTTGGATATCGATATATTCGATCCTTTCAAGTTTCTCAATTTTTCTTTATTATAATAGTTATTTATGTAGTAAAGAAGTGGTTCATAAAATGGCGAAAACTACCTTAGTAGTAAAAACACACTTTCCGCCTCGGAAACGAGTAAATAATGGTTAGTTTTTTAGCTAGTGATGGAAAAAATTTCATACGAATCGGTCGAGCCGTTTCGGAGGGGTTTGGCATCAAACACCGTGACATGGACATGAGCATTTTATACAGGGTGTTTCAGATTTGAATGTACAAATGATTCCTGTAGATAGGGGACACTTCGGTGGTTCCAATTCACCACCCATTGATATGTCTACCGTCTTTTATAACTGAGATACAGGACGTTATCTTTATTTTGGCAAAACCTTCATCTGGTTATAACTTTTGAACCACTTTGTATAATTTATCCATACTTGGTAGAAATATTCCACTTATATTACCCATCAAAACCATATAAAAATCCGGATCAGAATCCAGGTCCGTCTTGAGGAAAAACAGAAAACTTCTTTTATCTCAAAAACAACACCTTGTATGGCAAAATTGTGTAGGTCAGTTTTGATATTTGGAAAGAGCGGGAAAAAATGAAATAAGTGACCTACTTTTCACAAGTGCGCATCTAATTTGACAGATGGTTTATTATCAAGTTTTGAAATATTCAGCTCCATTTCGAGGCATTTTTATTGAACTTATAATTCAAAATTCAATTTTAATACAAAAAAATAACAGTCTTCAAAGTTCAACATCATTAGAGTCAAATTAAGGTTTAGTAGGCTGTGCAAAAAAATCTGATATTCTGACAGGTCATAATCACTAGTGTGATGTTATTGGTAATGTTGAGATAATTATTACTGGTGCTTGTATTGGGTTGTTACATTTCAAAGTGTTCATAATTGTGCCTACAATAACTTTACCAATAATATCGCCGCAACTATAGTGATTATGAACTGTCAGAATTTTAATTTTTTCTTCACAGCCTACTTTACCGCAGCTTATGAATAAATAGTAAAGTATAAAATGAGTCCTCGAAAGTTTTTAAAATCATCGACAAATTATTCTGTCAAACAAACAAATTTATCGATAGTTCACCTAATTTGACTCTATGGACGTTGAACTTTGGTGACTGTTATTTTTCTGTATAAAAATTGGGTTTTGGATTATGAGTTCAATAAAAATGCCTCGAAATGGAGCTGAATATTTCAATACATGATAATGAACCATCTTTCCAATTGGATGCGCACTCGTAAAAAGTAGGTCACTTCATTCATTTTTTCCGCTCTTTCCAAATATCAAAACCGATCAATAAAATTTTGCCATACAGAGTGTTGTTTTTGAGATAAAAGAAGTTTTCTGTTTATCCTCAAGACGGACCTGGATTCTGATCCAGATTTTCATTTGGTTTTGAGGGTAATATAAGTGAAATATGTCTACCAAGTATGGATAGATTATACAAAGTGGTTCAGAAGTTGAACCAGATGAAGATTTTGCCAATATCAAGATAACGTCCTGTATCTCAGTTATCAAAGACGGTAGACATATCGATGGGGGGTGATTTGGAACCACCGAGGTGTCCTCTATCTACAGGTATCGTATGTACATTTAAGTCTGAAACACCCTGTATATTATATAGTTCAAAACATCATTTGAATACCGTTCAATTTCATGGAACGAGCAAACATAGCTTTCGGCGATGAACTCTTCTACCCAATACTGACGTCATGATCAGTGTGTTGCTAGCTTTTTTATTTTAAGGAAATATCAAGTAACTATTTCAGTTCCATCGAACCAGCTCGAAATTAATGGATATTCATTGATGTAGGTGTTACCCCCATTGCCAATTCTATAAGTTTATAGCTGACATGATTACTAATCAAGTATGTTGTAGCACCTTGTAGGTTCGATCAGCAGCCATAAAATTCGGTGTAATCCTCAGTCATACGTTAATAACGAGGTTTACGCAGTCTAACTCAACGATTTTGGTATACTTGGTATTTTAATGACCCTCAATTTCATCACTCAATATCTTTGTCATAATATGGCACTCTCCAATTTATATGAAAACAAGAACAAGTGAGTTTTAAATTGTCTCGCTCGGTTCATCCATGTCATTGTTGAAATCAGTTGAATATTGAGAGCAATGAATGTTGAAAATATCCAAACAAGTTAAAGAATCAGTTTAGACGGCAACGCTGTCTGACTACCAATACCAATAGGGGGTCGGCGAGTTATAGCACTTCATACCATTTATTTTTTATTCATTTTTAAAATAACATATATTTCAGTATACTATATTGATAGTAATATACATTATAATACTTCAAAGTTCTCTATAGTGCTCATACGTCATAATATTTTTTCTGGAACTGAGTGTTCTTGCCTATTCTACACTACACTAGAATTTCAGACAAAAATATTCATCCAAAACAAAATGGAGGATGATAATTTTTGAAATCTCATAACTACCAAGATCCATTGGACTAGTTAGCAAAACTGAGGAAAATCAAGAATAATGTTTATCATTATTTTTTAGGTTAATACTGTTTCCCCTCCACCTCCGAGTCCCACGAGTGTGGACCCTTTCCAATTGCCACCTAAGCCGGATCCGATTTATGCCAACAATATGGTGCATAAGAATGCGGAGGCAATACATTTTGAGGAACAGGTAAATAGAAACAAAATACCAGAGAGATTTATTCTCCCTTCAAAATACTATTCGTTGTTTTGTCGTTTTGTCGACAATTTCTTCAATATTAGAGAATTTTTTTAGGAATTGAAGAAATATCAAAATTTTAAAATTGTGATAGAACGTTCAGATTTGACAAACATGTGTGAAATCAAAATAGAAACAACTGAACGTTTTTAATATCCAAACAAATAAGTCTATTTTCAGTGATTATTTCGAAAAAATGTAACTTCCATGGCCATTTTTCAACTTTTTCAATGCTAAACTTGACGTCCAAGTCGAATTTCAAAATTCATTATTATTATTATTATTATGTATTAAGTATTTTTTGTGTGACTGAAAAAAGTTTGACCTTTCATCTCTGTTGACAGGTTATAAAATTCCACTTATCATAAATTATTTTTTCCCTAGTATATATACAGCCTATATGTACACATTAACTGATATTTCTGGGAGCCGGAGGGAGGGCATCTTGTGTTCTGCCCGAACTCCGAAGGTTCGGGCACAGTGGCAACTTTTCAAACCTACAATTGTTAACTTCCCTACCTCGAATAACAAAACAGAGTTAAAACTCGAACTGGCGGTCCAACTCGCAGTCGAACTGATAGTCGCACTGTCGAACCCGCTTCCTTACGTCTTTTCAATAGTTGTCTATATTTTCGGAAACGTGACAGTAAGGAAATCAGGTCGATAGTCCGGGTTCATTGAAATCAATGTCACGCCTGTTTTTATGTTCAACTACTGTGGAAAAAAAAGTTCGTTCACGATTCGAAAATTTTTGAATTAATAAACAAAGACGTGACCGTTCAATGACTTCAAACCTTATATGAATTTGATTGAAACTAAGGAAAATAACCCTATTCGTGACAATATTTTTCATTCATATAGTGATAAATAAATAGAATACTACTTTAAATATTGACACACTAGTGTGTTATTTGATGGTTTACTTGTCTAAAATGACATTAATAATGACAGTCATAACTGTCATGTGTTGCTAAAAAAAATTATTATTATTATTTACTGTGTTTTCATTATTAGATCGAATCGAAGCTGAACGCCCTGGACGAGATCCCAGTGGAACAAGACGCTGTCGACGGCGACGAGGGTTTCGGCTCGCTGAAGGCTGACGAGGAGCAGGTGCGCCGCCACCATGTCAGCTGCGAGGACCTGCTCAAGTTCGCCAACGCCAAGCCGCCGTCGCGGACCAGGGGCGACGAGTCGGACGAGGTGCGCATCATGTCGAAGGTGCTGGGGAAGGATGTGAGTAGCCGGCATATATCTACTACTAATATAATATGAAACATAGCTGTCCTCAAAGCGGGACCAACTTCTGTCGCTATAGGCACAGTATACACCCTAGCGGAAACAGTAATTTCACTTAGCACTTTTCGTGTCCCTAAAATCGCAGTCCGCATGTCCACTCCTGGCTAGTATGCGCAGTGGCTCGGCTAGCAGGGCAGGTGTTTTGTTTACACTTCTTTGATTTCTATGCCTTTGTTTGTGATTCATTCTGTGATCGGAACCACCAACATCTATCGCGATTTATTTATTTTGCCTGGTATTGTTTCGTGAACCACTCATGTTCCTGATTGCTGTTATATTTATTGTGCATCATAAACTTTATATGTGAGGTCACAGCTCCTGGTGAACCGTTTTACTTTTGAGTGCTTGTGATAGTACCAGATATTACTGTTTATCAAACTGTTTATTATTGGAAGATAATGGCTGCCTACTGTTTCATCTGTAGCAAAAATAGTAGGACAGATTGCAGTTTGAGTTTCTTCAGATTTCTAAAAGATGAGCCAAGGTAAGCAAGATTGTATCCACAGACATCTATATCTGTTTGTTTTCCATTGCCATTATTTATACATTATAAAACACAGTGTGGGATAAACATATACCTACTGATGTATTATTATATCCATACATTTCTGTTGAACATGCAGTTGAATATAGTGTCAACTTTTGGATAATATTCATTTTATATCTATAATTGCTCATATTGAACTTCAGTGTGAAATAAAAAATAATTCAAGAATATTGAGGTTGGTTATATTTCCATTCCTTTATCCAAATGAAAAGTAAATAAAAACATTGGGAATATTTAAACAATTCTTTAATCACTGTCAGACATTGAACATTTCAAATAGAACACTATCCTTCAACAATAAACTCATCAAATATACAGATGTAACAAAATTTTTAGGTCTTTATATTGATGAACGACTATTGTGGAATAAACATATAGATCATTTGAGAAAAAAACTTAATCCTATTACAGGCATTTTTTTCAAAATACGAAATTTCATTTCTACTAGATACTTGAAGAGTATTTATTTCTCTCTTATTTATTCAAAATTTCAATACCTAATATCTATATGGGGAAGTACCAATATTTCACGTTTGAGTCCACTAATGAAATTACAAAATAAAACATTGAAGTGTATTTTCAATTTGAATTTTCTCGAACCAACCATGAATTTATACAAACCTAGAGATTTATTAGATCTGACATCACTATATAAACTTAAAATATGTTGTTTTATTCAATTTGTCCTATATAAATTGAAAATTTCAAATTTAAATTTCAATTAAATCAATTCATTACATAATCATGGAACAAGACAATCAAATTTACTAACAGCAAATACGTTCAAGTCAAATATCGGCAAACAATCCATTTTTCACACAGGAATCGTTCTATACAACTCATTACCAAGTCAATTGAGGAATATACAGGAAGCAACTAGATTCAAAATTAACTTGAAAAAATATCTGCTTCAGAGACTTTGATAATTCCATTTCTTATTTGAATACCTACTTATAAAAGGCAAGGTTGATATTGCATGATTATTTGTATTTTTTTTTTACTTGTTATATCTTATTATAATTTCATAATTGTATGTATAACATTATGTATATTGTTTATGTATCCCTATTATAAACAACTATGTTTCTTGGGGTAATAAAGACAATCAATATAATACTTATTGTCAGTTGAACCACAAATACTGTGGTTGAACTGTTTGTAATGTGAAATCAAAAATAACATCAAGAATATTTTCCAGAAAGAAAACTGAAATCAGTTTTTTTCATGTTCAAAATTTCAATGGTTCTATGACTGCGAAACTACGCCTATCTGGCTATTTATTTGTTTGAAACCGGACCTGTTCACATAAAATTCAGTGACTTCACAGCATTCCTCAATGATGACGAGCGAGTCGTCATTGGCTTGCCATTGGCTAGACCAAGCCCGTGACACGAAAGTCTGTGCGTGGTGGTATGTGCACTGGTCGGGCAAAAAATGAAACTTGTGGACACCAACATCGAACGTTCCGACACTAAGTGAAATTACTGTTTTCCGCTAGGGTGTATACTGTGCTATAGGTAACGAAACCGCCCAATAGGCGTTGATACCGGCGTAGGGAAAAAATTATACGAAACTTGTCAAACCAATATGGCTGTTTCCATCCTTCACTTTCCGTCCTTATAGATTCGAAAAGTACATCTCATTTTGGTCCCATTTTTGTTGAGATATCGTATAGGCGATGGGCCATATATAGATATAGTACATATATGGTAGCCGGCGACGGTTTCAATTTTATTTTCATAGATTTTGTTTTCCTTCATTTTCTGGTGTGCCCACTCTTCAATTGTTTCGTCAGACTAATAGCGGATTCCATTGGTGAAACCATTGCGTACTCAGTGTATACATTTCTCTTTCTGCTACACGTCAAAAAGAAAGATAAATATACACTGAGTGCATAAATACCGCACCAGTTCATGCCCAATGGAAACCGCTATCACTCTCGATATTGTCACAAACTGTAGGCGGGGGTTGCCCATGTTGTGTTCTAGATCCCTTAGAGAATGAACTTTGAAAGTGATCTTTTTTTTTTCTTCATGTTCTGGTTCCCACGAAAAGGGATATCCTGTAATGTTTAGAGAACATCGTGAGAACCAAGGGAAATAAGGTAGGAATTTGTGTTCTTCTTGAATTTCTGAAGGTTATATGCCTCGGGGAACACCTCCCTTGGCAATGTGTTCCAGAGCCTCGCTGTTCGTTGGATGAACGAGTCTTTGGAAAGGGATGTTCTGCAGGTCTCCAAAGTGACCACGAATGGGTGCGAAGCCTCAACTCGACGGGTTAATCTCGCGGGGACTGCCAAGGGAGGTACAATTGTTGATATTTCAGAAGGGCATCGTCCATGAAAATATCTATAAAATAGAGCCAGATCGCCAACTTTTATACGGTGTTACAGAGAAGTGAGTGAGTTTGTAAGCGAGGCATCACCCACGAGACGAATTGCCCTTTGTTGGACAGAATCCAACAGTTTCAGGGTATATCTGGGTGCTGCACTCCAAATACGGGAATAGTATTCCAGGACAGGTCGGATCTGTGCCTTATAGTTCATAAGCAGCTGACTGGAAGTGAGATAGCTCCTGGCCCGAAACAGAAAACCAAGTTTTTGGGATGCACTTCTAGCAATTGATCTCACGTGATTTTCCCAAGAAAGGTTATTGCTGATAGTAATACCAAGCATAGAAATGGATGTCTTCAAAGGTATGGTTAGTCCTAACATGCTTATGTCTGGCACAGGTAGATCGGCTTTTCTGGACAAAAAGCCATGCTTGTGTTTTGTTTGCATTGAAATCTACCAAGTTATTGGATCCCCATTCGAGAATTGTTGCCAAGTCCATATTTATGATGTCAACATTCCTCCCTCGTTCGTTTCTGATTTGCCTGACTGCTATTGGAGCCCTGGAAGAGAAGGCGGTATGTAGGGTACTATCATCGGCGAAGCTGTGTACTGGACATGAAGTTGCTTCCAACAAATGGTTGATATGAGTAGAAATAGTGTTGGTGCTAGAATTGATTCTTGCGGAACACCAGCATTTATGGTAAGAGAGTCAGATAAAACTCCGTCGACCACTACATGGAGAGACCTGTTTGAGAGAAAACTAGCTAGCAGAGAACATAGCTAGGGAGGCAAGCCATAAGATGGAAGCTTGGCGAGGAGTCCGTGGTGCCAGACTCGATCGAATGCTTTGGAGATATCAAGTGCCACGGCTAAGGTTTCACCATATATAATAATAAATAATGAGCGAAAAGGTTTTCAAACAACACATATGCACACATTTATTCTTGGAAATGAAACGAATTGAAAACTCAACTTACCTATATGTACACATAAACTGATATTTCTGGGAGCCTGAGGGAGTGCATCTTGTGTTCTGCCCGAACTCCGATGGTTCGGGCACAGTGGCAACTTTTCAGACTTATAATTGTTAACTTCCCTACCTCGAATAACAAAACAAAGTTAAAAGTCAAACTGGCAGTCCAACTCACAGTCGAACTGGTTGTCGAACTCTCGAACCCGCTTCCTTACGTCTTGTAAATAGTTGTCGATATTTTCGGAAATGTGACAGTTAGGAAATCAGGTCGATGGTCCAGGTTCGTTGAAGTCAATGTCACGCCTGTTCAACTACTATGGAAAAAAGTTCGTTCACGATTCGAAAATTTTGGAATTGATAAACAAAGACGTGACCGTTCAATGACTTCAAACCTTCTATGAATTTGAATGAAATCAAGGAAAATAACCCTATTCGTGACAATATGAACAATTGAATGCTAGTTTTGGGACGTGGGGTTCTTATATATAATGATAGATGGCGTGAACGATGGACCATGGGCGAGTGGAATGATGATGAATTATTGGTATTCAATTACTCCACTGTGTCGTTAATTGATTTTTTCAACACTTCTCACGATTTTTTTATGTAAATAATGAGTCTATGCGTTGTTAGAAATTGTTGAATTTCAGAGCTCATTTCAAACGAGCTACATGGCCGTCATTTGGCGATACTTCGAATAAATAATGACGTCTCTTTCTTTATTGGTCAGATAATCTCCCATTTCCATCACGAAGCAAGGTTGTCAAGTCACCAAAAAGATGAGTCCTGTCGTTGAATAAAACATAATTGGAGGTACCCATGATATTATAGTTCATTCTTGTCTCTTTCGAGCAACCAGCATGTCCAAATATACTCCATACTCTCCATAACAAAATTTCATGTAAATGTCGGAGACTTGGCAACATTGTGCTGAATGCTGATAACTGACAAGACCACGCCTACAAGCCGTGCTCGGGGTTGTCACGTTCACCGATTCAAATGTCCTCTAGTCAACTTCTAGCGATCACTTGCAGCCATATCGATGATCCCATATCTTTTGATACTATTAGATATTTGATAATCCAGTGCAATTTTAGCGTTTCAGTCGTTAAACTTGCCCATTAGCAGGAGACTTATTATTTTTCGAATAAAAGGATTTTCTTGTAAGGTGACGATGGAGAAATGCTTGCAAGCGCTGGACCAATCCGATTGGGACGTGATGAAGGCCATCAAGATCCTGAAGTTGCAGAACGTCGTCGTCAGCGAGGATCTGGCCAATCTCTGCGACGCCCTAGAGCACTCCATGTGGGACATAACCAAAGCAGCCCAATGGATCCTTCAGCAGGACGGAGAGGTGACGCAAGTCTGAACCGTACTCACTAAAAATAGCAGGCGAAATATTTCACTGACAGTCGGTGAAGTTTTTCGAATTTTAATATCCATGTGGGATATAACCAAAGCGGCCCAATGGATCCTTCAGCAGGACGGAGAGGTGACGCAAGTCTGAACTGTACTCACAAAAAAAAAATAGCAGGCGGAATCTTTCACTGACAGTCGGTGAAGTTTTTCGATTTTTAATAACCATGTGGGACATAACCAAAGCGGCTCAGAGGATCCTTCAGCAGGACGGAGAGGTGACGCAAGTCTGAACCGTACTCACAAAAAAAAATAGCAGGCGAAATATTTCACTGACAGTCGGTGAAGTTTTTCGAATTTTTTAATATCCATGTACGACATAACCACTGCGTCCCAAAGGATCCTTCAGCAGGACGGAGAGGTGACGCAAGTCTGAACCGTACTCACAAAAAATAAAATAGCAGGCGGAATCTTTCACTGACAGTCGGTGAAGTTTTTCGAATTTTAATATCCATGTGGGACATAACCAAAGCGGCCCAATGGATCCTTCAGCAGGACGGAGAGGTGACGCAAGTTTGAACCGTACTCACAAAAAAATAGCAGGCGGAATCTTTCACTGACAGTCGGTGAAGATTTTCGATTTTTTATATCCATGTGGGATATCACCAAAGCCGCCCAATGGATCCTGAAGCAGGACGGAGAGATGACGCAAGTTTGAACCGTACACACAAAAAAATAGCAGGCGGAATCTTTCACTGACAGTCGGTGAAGATTTTCTATTTTTTATATCCATGTGGGATATCACCAAAGCCGCCCAATGGATCCTCCAGCAAGACGGAGCGAAATATTTCACCGACAGTCGGTGGAGTTTTTTGAATTTTGATATCTCGTATGGCTGGACTGTTGCACAAGTGTAAATGGGGAAGTTTCCATCAGATGAATTTTTATTGAGTTTTTATTTTAAAAATAAAGCAATTTCTAATTTTCGGGGCGGCAAACTGTGACGTACATTCTGAATCTAGTCTGGAATATAGCTGATGATGAGGGTTACATAGGAGAGTATAGCTGACGAATATTTTGGCGTCGTTGTTGATGTTTATATCATGAAAAATAACGATCATCAACTAACTAACAAAACACCGATGAATGGGGGAGACCACTGATTTTTTAAATCAACATCATGGTGAACTATATCGAAAAACCACCAGTAACTATAATTTTGCATTTTTTCATTCACACTAGGACGATAAAAACTTGAAATATGTTCATTTCAAAACACACACTTTCTGGCGCCATTTGAAATGGTGTCATTCCATTGGTGTGGCTGGTGTAACGTATTAATCCTAACACGCCTATTGTCCTTGAGCTCACCAATCACACTGCAACACTGCAGAAAGGCAAAGTATCAGAGAGAGATAGCTACAGTTCGGGACTGATACGTCACGGCTCTACCTTCATATCAGGCTTTTTGAAATATCGGATGGAATATCGAGGGATAAAGTACAGTACCTCGTAAATCGCAAAAAGTGAATCTTACAGGAGAGACGAAAAACGTATTGGTAGTAACAAAATATTGATTTCTGGCCATTTGATGTTTCATCACAACAGAGTGATGCACTGGCAAATTGGAATCATCACAATGGGCGTGTACACCTTAGTAGAACTTTTAACTCAAACCATGTTCATAATGATCCTTTTATACATAAATAATGATTGACGACATAATTCGATCGAAAAATTAACTGGAATGTTTTATTTTTGGACATAAATGATAGTACCTTCTGAAAACGGAGACCCTCTTATGACGTAGAAACCCCATCTCGCCATATATATATATATAAACCATATATATCTACTACTGATATATGAATCATAGCTCTCCTCAAAGCGGGACCCATTTCTGTCTCTATAGGTAATGAAATCGACCAATAGGCGTTGATACCGACGTAGGGAAAAAATAATAGGAAATTTGTCAAACCAATATGGCTGTTTCCATCCTTCACTTTTCGTTCTCATAGATTCAAAGAGTACCTCTCATTTTGGTCCCATTTTTGTTGAGATATCGTATAGGCGATGCGCCATATATAGAAATAGTAGATATATGGTTGAAACTGACACTCTCCTGACACTTATTACTGTTGCCATATCATCCAAACAAAATATCCGAGAAATCGAAATCGATATTGAAATATCTTTTGATATCCACTACCACGACTGCAGAAAAATATATTCGAGTTGTCGATTGTAGGTTGAATCATTGGAGTATAAACAATCTCTAGACAACGAAATGTCTCAATCTCAAAACCATTTGCACCATTACAATTTCACAATAATCCAATATATTTCATAAACATAGCAACATTGCTTTGTTGACCCGTTTCACATGGAGCTGCAAAAAGTCAATCTAGGTTAGAATTGATTTGTCAGAAATCATGTATCATTCATCTCTGTCTGGAATAGTCTTGTTTCAGTATTAGGGTTTTGACGTCACATCATCGCCTCGTTTTCAGAGGTCCGAAAAATCGGGGATTTCAATAATTTTTTATAAAACGTAGGGAGCTCACAGCAAGAAACGGTTTGCGGTGGTGAGCAAGTTTGGGTGAGTTCTATCGAATTATGAAATAAAATTTTTTTGTGATATAAGCCCATTTCATTAAAAATTTCTCTTCAAGGAAAATGGGATCAGATGCGTGGTCCTGCTCTTATTATCACATCAAATACGAGGTATTGCCTCAGTTACTCAATTCAATATCAATTCATGAATAAACCATCAATGACTCTTAAAGAAAATTTCATTGAAAACATAAACGAACATGAATTCTAAAATAACAGTCCTGGATGAACAAAAAATATTGAAATAAAATATAGTTCTATTTATAATGTAATAAGTCATAGAACGACCAACAATCTTGTGGAATCACTTGTTTAATAGCCTGAAGATCCAAAAATTTTCTTTTTGTAATAGGCAATGGTGAATCATATAGTTGGGGAAAGTCTCCATCTTTCAAAATGATTTTCGATGGTCTAGCTGGAAGGGTTTGAAAATCATCTCCATAATTAATTTTATAGGATATTTCACCATTTTTGTATCTCAGAACCCGAATATCTGTGACCGTTCAGCCATCTGATGGCCTGATAGATTTATACTTGAGCAAAGGCTTGTGTCCAAAATTCTTGAAGAATGTATAGGGCTTAGTTTGCTTGCTTCTTTGGTAATACGAGGGTAATCACTGGGTAGGTAGATTTCTTTATGTTTCAATGATGATTCAATGGCAGCATGAACTGAGTCACACTCCATTTGAGTGTGACAACTGGTCTGCACTGCATTCGAGTGATATCTGCTGGCAGTTACGAGATGCTGCACACGCCGTGTCATCAACTATTTCACGCCTACATATACGAGGTACTGTGTTTTTGTACTTACGAGCTCCTGCACTTTTGGAATAGGATAACGCACATACGAGGTCGCGTTAGTCAACTTTTGAAAATCACAGGAAACTTATTTTCACTTGATATCTATGCCAACAGATGCCTCTAGGTATACTTAGTAGAATAGCATCAATACCTCATTTTTGGTAGAACTGCGAGTTACGAGGTACCGTAATTTAGCCCTCGATATGCTGATTTCAAAATGCTATAGATTCGATTGCCTTCAATTAAAACTAGTAATATTGATTTTACATTTTACATCGCGGTCCGAATCGCACTCAAATCGCTTTGAGGGCGCTATGATTGGTCCGATTAACGCTTAGAATGCTTGTAATATTCACCGTGAGTCATTATGACGTCATGGATAGCGTCACTCCTCGCGCTCACAGTGCTCACAGTTCAGAGGTGGAGCAGTCTAAGTGCTGCTGTCAATAGTGTCATTACTGTCACTTGAAACTTGAAAAAGTAAACATGGGGAAAAAGTCCTAATATAACTTATATAGAATACAGAGACAATTCTCTCAAGATAATTTTTGATAGGAGGTATTAAAATTGAACGAAGGCGTTATATTATACAACTGCTGCATCATACATATAGTTAAGGCCTTTTAAGCCAGTTCAACACTATTTTTTATATTAAGCTGAGCATATTACTACTTTAGAACTATTTCTTTTGACGTTTGTAGAAAAAAATTTTGTTTGCAACTCCTGGTAAAAAATTCATCTATCACAATGGAATGATAATACAATTCACTACCAAATAACTTGAAACTGATTGAAAGGATTGAAAAATTGAAGAAACATCTACTCCTATGATATTGACATCTTATCTAATTTTTATAGTTGGTACAATTACTAACGTTTTCCATTGGGTACCTACAGCTGAGTCAATTATGATTCATTTTCAGTTGAACTTGAAAAATAATGATGTCTTCTTGAGTGTGAGTCTTATTTTACTGTCTTCTTTATTTTGTCAAATATATTTATATATTCACCATGTTCACCGCTATAAACAAAAAATGTTTCTTGGAAATAAAAAAGTTGTTTGATTGAATTTCAAAATGCGTCAATTGTATTTCAAATTAGTCATTTTAATTTCAAAATCTAGCACTCCAAATTCCAGAATAGTCATTTGTATTTGAAAAAATATCAAATATATTCCATAACGCGCCATTTGAATTTCAAAACTGAAAAAGCACAGGCAAAGGTTAGGTGATATTTTCATTCACCTTGTTATTGGAACAACGCTTCCGGCTTCTGGTTCCTGTCATTGTGGCATCATCAATAAAAATGAACAGTTTTGAAATCGAAATAATGGTTTTGAAATGATGGATTTCAAAATTGAAATGGAATTTTTGGAAATTAAAATGACTAATTTGAAATACATTCGATACTTCTTGAAATACATTTGATACTTTTTGAAATTAAAATGACGCTTTTTGTACTATAATTAGAGGGAATTCCGCAATTCCGTGAATGTGGCTTTTCACAAAGTAGAGCCAAGTTCCTTATCTATTCATTTTTTTCCGAAGTGAATTTCGATCTTACAAATGAAATAAAAAATACGTATATGATAATTTTTTGCATAATTCACAGAGATCTCAATATTGGAAACCTTCCCATTCAATCCACTTTGGGCAACAAAACAGTTTAAATGGAGGAATCAATATCGGGTGTTTATAAACTGTAGACATCTCGGTGGGTTATGATTTGAAAAACTCATTGTGCTGGGATTATACGTTTGAATATGCTTTGCATTGCTAGGAGCTCCATTCTTCAATGATTTTTGGTTGTCTTTGTTTTTTTAGGATTGTGGTATGATTTTCTGCATATAAGAATCACTTTGCCACTGAATTTTACATAAGAATGATGTGGTTTGACTGTTATCACCTACTTTTTATAACAGTTTCAATAAATAAAAATGACTTTTCGTGATTCAAATTTGGACTTGATAATATACAGTACCATTCATGAAGTTAGAATTTTTCTAGTATTGATTTCTGGGCAAATATAGTGTTTTTATGTTCATCAAACTAAACAAAAAACAACGTTCATTTAGAAATTCGAAAAAAATGTGTACTTATGCATTCAAAATAGAATCATCCCTGTTAGCTAAAAAAATAATATTATTTGATACATTTAATTTTGTATAAATTATCAAATCCTACTATACATTATAATAATATGATACATCTTATTCACACCCCCCATCTAAGTTTTGATGGTTGCTCTAATCCTACTAGAAAATATTTTCCCATAGATCAATAACAACTTAGTATATCAAATATATAATCACTTCTGATGGCAAATTTGTTAATTAGTCCAGCTTGTTATTTTTTTACTGTCATCTTAAATTTTTGCTTGATTGTGGTAAAGGCCAAAGTTGCGATTGGGCGCGTTAGAATTTTATGGTTCCTGAGCAAAAGGAATCTCAAATTGGCATATCATAAACTGAGTATTGTGAATCCTGATCTCAGTTGGGTCACAGGGTGTGATAACTGAACTTGATCAATATTTATATTTCATAGATGTTTCAGTCAATTCAGTGAAACACTGCCAAAGAGCATGCAATGGATATTTCCTCATTGAATTAATTATATTCATATTCACTGAATTATAAAAAATGTGATATAATAATGAAAAATTTATTCAGATTGTCAACAAATGTGTGAATTTTTTTATAACATTGTATAAGGTAATAGTTTCTTATTAACAAAAATATAATTTTTATTGTGTGTCAGTTAGTAACTAAAAAAATTGTTGTGTTTTCTATGGTTATCTGGAAATATTATAATTTTTTTATCTGATAAGAATAATTGAAGTACTTATTTTCTCCTGAACTGTATGAATATTTCTAGATATTTGAAACCACTTGTGTAATAATTAATGGTTGTGTTTTAAGTTTTTTTATAATGAAAATTTATTTATTGTCTTGCCAACATTGTATTTATGATGATTTTTTTTGGTAATCATGTTAAGAACTAACATAATTTATGAAATAAAAACTTTTATATCTGAAAACACATTTTATTTACTGCAGTTCAGGTTTTTACCACTTCCAATGAATCTGAAAACCATTTGTACTTAAAAAATAAGTACCAATAAGTATTTGTGAATATGGGTTACATGAGGTATACAAATAATAATGAGAATTTCCCCAAAAGGATTCTCTTTCCTGTGTTCCAAGAGATAAAAAAAATACAAAATTTCAAAATTATTAAATAGAAACTCCTGATAGTCAGAAATAGTTCCAAAAGTGTATGAATTATCCTATGATCTATTTTTATCATTTCATTTATGAGTACCTATCAGTTATTTGAATTTCTATTAGTATTTAATTATCAATTTGAGAGTATTCAATGTTAAATTACTTCTTCAGAGTATTCTCTAAGTGATGATTATCCCATATTTTTCAGGAAAAATTGAGGGATTCAAACATGTGCTTAATTTTCTCTCAGTTTGTTATGATTTTTGAGATAGTTATAGTTTTTCCTACTGAAAAGAAAAATGAATATTTCTATCAGTAGTAGATTAGAGCAATTAGAGCATATAATTTCATTAAAATGTCAATATAATAATTATTATGTTAACTAGGTCAGTCATTTGAAAATACAAAAAATAATTAAAGCAAAGGACAACTTCAATGAAAAAATAATCAAATCCTTATATCTTATACCCTTCAATGAGAGGTATTCCTGTACCAACTTTCAGTTGATAATCACAGTAGCTTTGGCCAAAGAAATTCAGCAGAGTTATTTCTTCAATGTATATCCTGGACTTGAAAAACATCCAACTGACTATAGCATATGCAGGCACACAAAGTGGATTCAGCAGTAAAATCTATGAAAAAATAAGGATCTCAGCACTTCAGCAATTATATAGCTTTCTTATTCTTTGTTTACCTGTGTCCCAATGGACCAATAAAACCAACCAACATAACTAGGATGTCTACACCAGGAATATATACCATGAGTTACTAAGACATGATCACTAGACCTTTCATGCTGGACCTGCAAAAAAATGCATTACAATATATTGGCTTTATTGGTTATTTCAAAATACTGACCAAGTGATTGAAACTTGAACCAGCAGTGATCATAGCAGTCTTCCTCCAAACTTCTCCCAGTATGCATAATACCAAACCTGCATTGGAGACCCAGTACAGTTGTTTCAGTCCTGAAAAAAGTACACTGAATAAAGAAATTGATTATCAATTTTTGGTGGACTGCACCTGGACAGAAGTAGGCCTCAATGAAAAACTCCACCCATGACATCACAGCAGCTGCAATATACTGAGGACTGTGATTGATTACAAATGAGTCAATGGAAACTTGTTTTGGTTGAACAATAGATATTGCTGTGAATTCACTGAAATGGAAGAATGCCATCACACACATGTAACCACCAAAGATTTGTATATGAGGTGGAGCAACTAGCCTAACATGGATTCCTATAGCAAATACTGTTCCCAAGATAGCAGCTCGAATTGCAATCTAAAAACAGAGCAACTATGTGATATTTTCATCACCCATATATTGATATTTTCATACCTGGTAGTTGAATCCTTGAAATTGCAACCTCAGTAAGGCATATAAAACTAAAAGGACACTACTGCACGACACCATATAACTGGTTAAAGAACTGATTTCAAAATACAAATGAAAAATACTCACAAATGACAATAAGAAAATTGCTAGGGAAAAGCTCTTAACAGCGACTTTCGTTTCTGTAACAATCATTTTGTGATTATTGGATTATCCTCACTAGATTTACTTCGTCAGACAATATTTTATTACAAAAATAAAATAGATACACCATCTCCAATGTTTATATTTACTTTTACTGTGAACCACAATAACCTCAAATTCGAAAACAGCTGCACGCTGCGCTACTGCTAGAAAGGACCATTGTCATTGTCTTCTCTGCTTTTTAAAAATATGTTCAACCAGTAGTTCAAATGCTTTCTATGATATGTGCCCGTAGGTTACAGATCAGTAACAGCATTTGTAAGTTAACGACCGTTTAGATTATGGCGGGAGGGTCACAATGAAAAAGCTTCTCATTTATTATTAAGTAGTCTACTCATATATTCAGTTATTGATCGTACTTCGATTTTTGAACGTTTCAAGCCTTGAAAGAAAAGTTATTCCTCATTGTGTGCAAATCTTTGTTGAAGACAGCATAAAGTAAACCTTATTTCAGAAAGTACGAATTTGTCACTCGAAGAGGATAACGTTAGATTACTTTCCTTTTTTGTTTACGTTTTGGTATTTATCATTCAACAATGATTGCAGTTAACTTTTTTCTCGGGTTGATTATAAGTGGAAATAGTTATTTCCTAGACTCGGTACGTTTACTCGTGCGGAATATGTTCGTTTTCACACTAGTTGAGTAAATATATTACTGACACCTAGTGGGTGCCAATTAATATACCAACATGATTAGTAGAGAGGCTTGACAAACTATTAAAGAAATATATTTATTCTGTATGAAAAACATTACAAATCAAATAAAAGTGCTTGTTATTATAACAAATCTGCATAAAACACTTTAAAATGAATCAACAAACTTCACTCCTTTGAGTATCAGAAAAAACATTTGAATCTTAATTCTAATGCAACATAAAAACTAAATTGTATAAAACAAAAACGTCAAAATTACAAAAAAAAACATACTTATTCAGAAACTCCAACATCAGCATTTTCGTCAACTGTTGTCTGCAGCCCAGATAACGCAGCAGACACAATTTTCTCATCATGATTCATCTTTCCAGAACAAGCGCTCTCGGGCCTACTCTCAACCTTATTTTTCTCTTTCAAATCGTCTGAAATCTTCAAGACCGCATCCACTTCTAAATCACCTTCCAATGCACTAGTTGGCCTTGAAAGGCAAGCAGGTACGATTTTTTCATCAAAGCTCATCTTCCCAGAACACGAACTTTGTGGTCTACTCCTAACCTCATTTTTCTTAGATGTAGCCTCCACTTTCGAATTATCATCAACAGGCGTTCCTGGCCTAGAAATGCAGGCAGGTACGATCTTATCGTCGAAACTCATTCTCCCGGAACTTGAACTCTGAGGCCTACTCCTAACCTCACTTTTCATCGAGGCCGTCTTCATGATAGCCTCAACTTCTGAATCGACTTCATTAGGAGTTTCCGGTCTGGAAATACACGCAGGAACGATCTTTTCATCGAAGCTCACCCTTCCGGAACAGGAACTCTGAGGCCTGCTCCTAACCCCACTTTTCAACAAGGTATTCTTCATTATCGCCTCGACTTCTGAATTATCCTCACTGGGAGTTTCCGGCCTACTAAGACAAGCTAATTCCTCATCGTGATTGGATGCACTGGCACTGGCTGGTGAGGCTACTTTTGAAGGGGACATTTTCTTAACCGAATCTAGTAGGATGTTCTTTTTCACGGTTGTGCCTTCTTTAATTGGCGATTTGGATGATTCTTTCTTAACAGGTGACGTCTTCACGGATTTGGTTGCTTCTTTGTCAGGAGATACTTTGATGGGAGAATCTTTTCTGAGCGACACTTTGACAGGAGAATTAGGTGTTGATTTGGTAGATTCCTTGTTAGGTGACACTTTTGTAGGGGTAACTTTTTTGGGAGATGTTTTCTTAGGGGATTCCTTAGTGGGTGAAGATTTCTCGCTGTGCTTCATTGGGGAAGGTACTTTAGAGGGTATTGATGTTTTTCGTGCTGTGGAACTAGAACTGGACGAGGACAATTTTTTGGGACTTTGGCCTTTAGCAGAAAGGCTTTCTATTCTTTGGATCAACTCTTGTTCCTGATCACGAATTTTAGATTTTTCCATTGCCCTAATGGACTCATCAGCCTTTTCTACTTCTGATGATTCATCAGATTTGTGGGAAACTCCAATTTCATCTTCGAGAACTTCCGTTGTTAGATCAATTTGTCGATCAACTTCAGATTTCATCTTCACAATTTCAGGTTCGTATCCAGATTCTGAATCTTCTGGTTCTAGCGAATTATCTATGGTTGAAATGATCTGACTCTGAGATTTCTCTTCAGAAGACATTTCCACATCTAGGTCTACAGTTGCCGTCAAATTTTCAGAAGAGACCTGGTTAGCATGATTCAAAACATCTTCTAGATGTTCTGGTTCTTGTTCAATTTTCGATAAATCTACCGAAGGTATGATTACATCTTCAGGACTCTTCTGGGAAGTTATTTGGTTAACCGGAATATCTCCATCTGTCGCCATGATTTCATCATTTTGGATATATTGATCCATTTTTACATCATTTGCTTCTCCAGAAGACATAACCACTAGTTTCTGTTCATTATCAGGTGACTGCTCTGAATCCTGTAGACCTAAAAGTTGTTCTGGTTCTATTTCAATTTCCGAGGACTCTGCATCTAGAGGTATTGTAGTTTGGTTATCGTCAACATATTCATGTAGCTGCAATGGGGTTTGTGAATCCAAAACATCTTCTAGATGTTCTGGTTCTTGTTCAATTTTTGATGAATCTATCAAAGGTATGATTACATCTTCAGGGCTCTTCAAGGAAGTTATTTGGTTATCCGGATTATCTCCATCTGTCGCCGTGATTTCATCATTCTGGATATCATGATCAATCTTTGTATCATTGGCTTCTCCAGAAGACATAACCACTAATGTCTGTTCAATGTTAGGTGACTGCTCTGAATCCTGTGAAACTAAAAGTTGTTCTGGTTCTATTTTAATTTCAGAGGACTCTGCACCTGGAGGTAGTGTAGTTCGGTTATCGTCAATATTTGAATTGTTTTCATGAGTCTTCGAGATTACTTCACTGTGAATATTGGAAGTTTGTTCATCATGTGACTGTCCTGAACCTATTACATTTTCTACTACATGGTCCGGTTTTATCTGTTGCATATTTACTTCTTCAAGAGATACTACTCCCTCTGGATCATTATCACTAGTCGGTAATAGAATTCCACTTGAAGACGATTTTTCTTCAATAACTCCCGTGTCTTCTTCTAAATTCGAAGTAACTTCTATTTTGGTGTGAACATCATCGACTTCACTGGAGATCTTGTTCAAAACTTCAGTCTGCAGATCGTGAATGATTTCGCACACTTCTGGGACTAATTCAGTACTATCTCTGTATGTGTCTTCATGGAAATGTTCAGTGACATCATCAACTTCACTGGAGATAGTCTGCTCAATCTTGTTCAAAACTTCAGTCTGCAGATCGTGGATCATTTCGCAAACTTCTGGGACTAATTCAGTACTATCTTTGTTTCCATTTTCATGTGAATTTTCGGTGACATCAGATTCAACAGTCAGTTCTATTTGTTCGGCTGTGGATTCCGATTCTTCGGCACCTTCTACCGCTTCAGTGCCTTCAATAAGAGCATCGTTTTCGGTTTGTGAATTGTCGCAGGATGCACTACGCATGCCTCCAAGTTGTGGTCTTATGTCTTGACCGTTCAGGTACAGTCTAACTGTACGTTCATTGACAAACTCGATTTGGAACAGGGTTGTACCTGCAATCGAGAGAAAACTCTGCATGTATTAGTAAGTTTAGTAAAGTCGGATAAGTATGATGTTAAACATTCAAGGCAAGCAAACAATTTTCAACTGTACAAGGTGCAAGACAGTAGACAATGAAGGCAAATCAACCTGGGTATTATGTATGTTTTGTTTTCTTCAATGCATGCACTGAGTACAACGATTCTCATGTCTTCAATATCATAGTGACCTCTTTCCAGTGATTCAGCATAATGTGAAAACTTCACAAACGATTATATTTCCACAAAATTCTCAAACACACAACATGTTTCGCTAACACAGTAGCTTCGTCAGGTGATGTACTGGTACAATAGATTAAACCAACCTTGGCTTGCTCAACTTTTATATATCATACTTTCCCAACTTAAAGGATAAGTTACCTGTGGAGAGATTCGATAAACCTCCTTTTTCGGAAATTAGGCACAATATCTACATTTAAATACGGTGTACCGGATTGACTTGAAAGGGTTGATAACAATATTATTACCTATTAAGAAAATAAATTCAACAGTGGTGAACTATTGAGGTCTTATTGATCGTTAAGTAAAATTTTGATATCTAATGATTGGAAATGATTAGAGTTTCATGATTTGAGCTTTTTCTTGGGGTTTGGATTCGGTTTCATAAATAATTCGAGGATTAAGTAGAAAAAAACGTTTCGCCCATGGCCATGGGCTTTGTGAATTTATTAAAATTTTTTGGCACTCAACCAATTCATGATTCACAGCGATTGTGGTACTCTTGTGAATATTTTCCACAATCGCTGTGGAATATTTACCACAATCGCTGTGAATCATGAATTGGTTGAGTGCCAAAAAATTTTAATAAATTGACAAAGCCCATGGCCATGGGCGAAAGGTTTTTTTCTACTTAATCCTCGAATTATTTATGAAACCGAATCCAAACCCCAAGAGCTGAAAATCAAAAACATAACAGGATTCAAGAAAATCCCTCAACAAACATTAGAGTTTCATTCCTTTATTTTCTACGTGTAGAATTTCGAAATTATCATCAAAACTATGGTTTTCTTCTATTATTTGGTTGGCGTATGTCAACCCTTTCAAGTTAATCGAACTTGTCCACAGCTAACTAATCCTTCAAGTTGGGAAAGCAGGATATATAAACGTTAAGCAAGTCAAGGTTAGTTTAGTTGATTGTGCCAGTATATCACCTGACGAAGCTACTGTGTTAGCGAAACATGTTGTGTGTTTAAGAATTTTATGGAAATCTTATCGTTTGTGAAGTTTTTATATTTGCCATGGATTTCCATCAAGGAACGGCCGAGTCAATGAAAAGAAAAATTAAGCATAATGTTTTATTTTTCCAACAGGAGGGATTTGATTCCCTTGTTTGAGATGATTTCAAGAACTTTTCTTAATTTTTCATTGATATAATTTCGATTTGGAAATATGTAATTGGATTGGTAATTTCAAAGGCTTCTGTTGTGGAGACATGTTTTCTCAAAAACGTTCGGTACAATTTGTTGGGATTTGGTTTATTAGATTGAGAAACTCATTTTTCTGTATAGACAGTTTTGAGGATGTCCTAATAAAATACGAAATGTTGACTATGATTCTCAATGTGACTCCAACTGAAACAAATTGTACAGAAAATCGTAACCAAACTTTGTGCCTAAAAGCATCAAAATCCAGAAAGTTGTTGGCCATTTAGAAATATTGGCATATTGAATCCTGAATCTTGTTAGGCCAAAATACGAACATTCATCAAATTGCTGACGCTTGGCCCATGATGATAATAAAATGAAATAAATTTAGCTTGAAATCAGTCAGAGAAACTCATCAAAAGTTTTCAAATAACCACTTGAGTAAAAATTATTCAGGTTATGTGATAATCTGAATTAGTTAATGTGAGTTTGGCATTTTAGTATCACCAACTATTCCCTTAATCTTATTATACAAGCATGCAATCTCTGGAAAGTTACAGCTTTGCCCAAAACTATTAGTATAATTTTGTACTAGAAATTACAGAGCCCACAACCATTACGTGATTTATTTCATATTAGGTCTCCCACAATCAAAATCAGATTTGTTTCAATGACAAATATATATACATATATTCCGCATAAATAAACAGATGCAAATAAAATTCCATTATTTTCCATGAATGCCTACATTTTCCAGCTCTTGTAGAGCTGAAGATCAGATTATTCCCTTCCAGAAACTAAATAAATCTCTCAACTAGGTTTAGTGAGAAGAATTTTAACTTTGTAGTCTTTGTATGTTTTGAAGACTCTAATACAGGCAAGTACGGAAATTACCTATGAAATTATGGATTCGAAAATATTTTTTTATTCTTATCAAGTATGGTTAATGGCTGAATATCATGAATCCAAAACTGGACCGAGAAAAATGAAAATAGTATTTTTCGGGTGCTTGTATGGCAGCAAAAACAGTCACAAAATAAACATGAACTGACATTTCACACAATTTATTTCAATTATAAAAATACATGGAATAAGATGAACAAATAATATAATAAATAATTCTGGAATGCAACTAAAACATGCTAACAGTAACAATTAAAAAGTAAACAAGAGCAACTCTAACAGTGTACAAAAATATACAGTACGCAAATTCTATCATGGCTATAGAGTCCAATGAAGCAGGATACCAAGTAAAGGTACATAATTTAACACAATCACTAAAAGAATGCTTTACTAGGATAAAAATGAGATAATTAAACTGTGTTTAGAAATATAATAAAGTAACATTATGTTTGAAAGTATACTTTGAAGCAAATTAAATTGAATGGTTGGAATAAATGAACTTGGATACAGATTTATTTTATAATACAGAGTGTCAATCTCTGTTGTCATTTTTTTCAGATATAAACAAGATACTTGAATGTCTCATAAACTGTATACAATAACGGATCCATGAAAAATTGTATTCCTGCTGCTGCTGAAAGTTTGTGAACCTCTTCATTAAACTGCCAAAAACTATTACCGTTTCTTTCATGTACGAGGGAAGTTAAAAAACTACTGTACTGAAATAACATTTCAGAGTTGTTTGAGATTTCATATATCCAAGTAAAAATACTATCACAATTTCAATGTACTGAGACATAAATGAGACCTATCTCACGTAAAAAAAAAATTAAAATGAGTGAAGATTTGATCTAGCTAGACTGTAGAGCAATGGATCTTACCCAATTTGTTGGGAAGTATAGTCCTTTGAAGTACCATTTTCAAACAATTGACCCATATGAAATTTGTCTCTATCATCAATTTTATTGATGTAGTAAACATTTGACGGGACTTTCACTCGTATATGAAGTAAGTTAGCAGCTTCAACTTCTTTACCAACTTCCAAGAGATGCCCAAACTTCAAACGAGAATAAAATTTCGTGAAAACCTGTTAAGTTTTCCACAAATCACAATTGACTTCTCAATGAACATAAATTAGAAATAAGATTTTTATGTCTCAAAATGTTCTGGGTGACTTCCAGTCAATATCTGTACAGTTTTAAAACATTCAAATATACAGGTTTATTTCCTTCTGAACATTGGTGTGCAAACTGTAGTCGCATAAGATGAATACCGGGTGTCGCTATTGTAGCGTGCATTTTTCATGAAATTTGAAACACCCTGTGGAGTGTAACATGACATGGCCAGCTCGGAGAGCAGATTGAAATCTGAGGATCTCTGGGGCATTATTGGGACAAGATTACAAGAGGACCGTAACTTGATTACTTTGGAAATCACACGGCAGATACAGATGATTCAAATTGAAGACCTGGACCAACATGGCATTAGGTCTCTTTTTTTGAGAATAGGCCGTCTTTGCCAAGCAGTTTTTCGTGACTGAAGCGCTTCACTTCAACTTGTGACTTTGCAATCTGTTTCGTTTTTTCCATATTCAATTCGGATATTACTTTTCCATAAAATCATGTCATGCTATAAAATGGTGTACCTCGAGTTATAGGAAAGATAATGAAGTTAATCCAAAAGAGAAATGTTGAAAAAAGAGAAGGCTAAAGTGTGATTTCAATTCTAACACGAAAATGAAACTATTACACTCTACAGGGTATTACAAATATCATGAAAAAAATAACATGCTGTCATTGCTACACCCAGTATGTATAAATGAGAGTTTTTTATGAGAATACAGTTTGCACACCATTGTTCAGAAGGAAATGACCTGTCATTCAAAAGAAGAAACGTCCAAATCAGAAAAGTACTTTTGACGAAAATGTTTCCTGAACTTTTAGCTACTTTTTGGTGCTACGTTAATTTCTTGGAGAAGTGTAAAAGAATGCATTTTAAAAAAATAACTACCAAATTCATGACTCATTCTGTAGAAAATAGTTAAAAATAAATCAACAAGAGCAAACGTAAACGACATCAAACAAAGAAAACAAATCCATCCAGTAAACAGAAAATCACTGCAAGCACCTCAAGCCCTGCTTCCATGGACCCCATCAAACAAACCTCCTTCTCTTCGACACAAACAAACTCAATTACCTTGCTGGTTCAACTCCCCGAACTTCTCTGCCGCCTCCACCGCCAACTCCTGCCCCGCCAACGGCTCCAACTCCAACTCTCCCTCCACCGCCTCGCCCGAGGCCTTCTCGATCCGCAACTTCTGCAATGTTTCGGCCTCCTTCACGTACCCCTCCTCAGTGATCGGAGCCAGTAATTCGGTGACGTCACGACCGGCGAGGAGGAGTTGCACGGTTGAAGTTTCGTCGGTGGCGAGCTTCTTCACGGTGAAGATCGTCTGGCCGTCTAGCGAGAGTTCGGTGAACTTGGCACACGCCTCCTGGCTCCATACATGAACCTAAATACGAACAACATTGTTGATAGCAAAGTGAAATTTTATAAAAAAATCAATATTCCATAGTAGTACAATTTCATGAGGCACAATAACCTGTATCTAATGTATAAAATTCTCCTGTTCCTGTCACGGTGTTTGAGGCCAAACTCCTCCGAAACAGCTCGACCGATTCGTATGAAAAATTTTGTGCGTATTCGGTAGGTATGAGAATCGGTCGTAAGCTATTTTTTAAATTGAAAATTCAAGATGGCGGATCCAATATAGCGAACGAGTTTTGTAATCCGATTTTATTCAAAGTTGGTATCAAGGGGATTTCGGGGCCGGAGATTATGGTTCTTTCGCCAAAATTTGAAAACTCAAGATGGCGGATCCAATATGGCCGACGAGTTTTCTAACTATGGTCCAATTCTATTCAAAATTGGTATCTGGAGGTTTTCGGGGTCGGAGATTATGATTCCGTCGTCAAACTTAGGACATTCAAAATGGCGGATCCAATATGGAAAACTAGTTCTTTAATTATAATCCGATTCTATTCAAAATTGGTATCTGGGGGATTTTCGGAGTCGGAGATTACGGTTCCTTCGTCAAAATTAGGAAATTCAGAATGGCGGATCCAATATCGCGAACGAGTTTTGTAACTATGAACCGATTCTATTCAAAATTGGTATCTAAGGGATTTGGGGTCGGAGATTATGATTTTTTCGTCAAAATTGGAAATTCAAGATGTCGGACGACTTTTGTGATTATGGTAAGATTCAATTCAAAATTGGTATCTGGAGGTTTTCGGGGCCAGAGATCATGATGCCTTCGTCAAAATCAGGAAATTCAAAATAGAGGATCTAATTTGGCAGACGACTTTTTTAATTCAAGGAAGGAAGGAAGGAAGGAAGGAAGGAAGGAAGGAAGGAAGGAAGGAAGGAAGGAAGGAAGGAAGGAAGGAAGGAAGGAAGGAAGGAAGGAAGGAAGGAAGGAAGGAAGGAAGGAAGGAAGGAAGGAAGGAAGGAAGGAAGGAAGGAAGGAAGGAAGGAAGGAAGGAAGAAGGAAGGAAGGAAGGAAGGAAGGAAGGAAGGAAGGAAGGAAGGAAGGAAGGAAGGAAGGAAGGAAGGAAGGAAGGAAGGAAGGAAGGAAGGAAGGAAGGAAGGAAGGAAGGAAGGAAGGAAGGAAGGAAGGAAGGAAGGAAGGAAGGAAGGAAGGAAGGAAGGAAGGAAGGAAGGAAGGAAGGAAGGAAGGAAGGAAGGAAGGAAGGAAGGAAGGAAGGAAGGAAGGAAGGAAGGAAGGAAGGAAGGAAGGAAGGAAGGAAGGAAGGAAGGAAGGAAGGAAGGAAGGAAGGAAGGAAGGAAGGAAGGAAGGAAGGAAGGAAGGAAGGAAGGAAGGAAGGAAGGAAGGAAGGAAGGAAGGAAGGAAGGAAGGAAGGAAGGAAGGAAGGACGGACGGACGGAAAGAAACTTCCTGACGTTAATATCGGCTGTCACCTTCATCGTCAAATCCTTGTTTCATCTAGTCAAGATACGAATATTCAAAGATAATCATCAATTCCTCATATTATCTGATAATTTCATTGTGTGTTGTGTTCTCTGTTATCTGCAGTGAGTATTCAATCCAGAAAACGCATTCCAAATTCTGATTGAAATGACAATCATAAATATTCTTGCACTTGTCTATCAGATAGCGAATTGATAGGTATGGTGTCCTCGGATGATTACGTCACGCGTCCCGCGTTTTTCATGTTATGGAATATCGTGGATTTCAATAATTATTTTAAAAAGTTACGGAGCTCTATGGAGATTTAGTTTTTCTATTTAATCGTGTAATAAGCATACATTACATTTTTAATTCACAATATCTATTGATACTCCAGATCACCCCAACTGCCGTTCTTAGTTGTTCGCCTGGTACTTTGAAATAATGAAATAAAATGTTTCACTGAAACAGCCCCATTCCAACCGTACAGGGCGAATAAAATGGCATGATTAGAGGCAAGAAAAAAAAATGCTTGTACGCACCCCTTCCGGCTTCAGCAGACAGCACTTCTGCGCCAGCGCCGCCGTCGCCACCAGGTCTTCGGGCAGCTGCCGCAGCTGGTCGCTCACCGACGAGTTGCCGTAGTCGATGAAGAGCAGCTCGATGCCCGCCACGGTGTTCGACAGGATCCGGGCGCGGTACCACATCTGGTCGTCGGGAAAGAGGGCGGCGCACAAGGTGCCGGGCGTGTGGTCTTCTAGCTCAGGGAACGTCTCGGCCGCGCTGAAATGACATGAACATGTCAATATGTGGTATTCCCCTTAACATATATGCTGATGATACATCAGTTATTGTATCCAACAAAATAGTAGATTGATTCATTAGGATCGAAACAGCGAAGCCGAGCGAAAGCAAAATTTGCGGGTCAAACAAAATCACTTTTGATCCGAATGAAACATGCTACAATTTCTGCAACCGAAACAATTAACTCAAATAAATATATGAAATAACCACCAATGCCGTGCCATATGTATGCAAAGCAACAAAGCAAAATCCGTGTGGTGAGAATATTCTACCTGCATTAACAGCAGGTTTATTCAATTTCCAAGGATGTCCGAATGAGCGTGTACACCTTAGTAGAAATTTTAACTCAAACCATGTTTATAATGATCCTTTTATACATAAATAATGATTGACGATCGGAAAATTAACTGGAATGTTTCATTTTTGGACATGAATAATAGTACCTTCTGAAAACGGACCCTCTTTATGACGTAGCAACCTCATCTCGCCATAGTTGAAAGAAAATACCAAACGTCCGACGGAGACTGAGGCAACTGATATATTAATTCTTCCAACTGTGATCTCGCGCTAATTCACTCTGTCAGAAATCATGTGTCATTCATATCTGTCTGGAATAGTCTTGTTTCAGTATTAGGGTTCTGACGTCACATCATCGCCTCGTTTTCAGAGGGACTTTCAATAATTTTTTATATATCGTAGGGAGCTCACAGCAAGAAACGGTTTGCGGTGGTGAGCTAGTTTGGGTGAGTTCTATCGAATTATGAGATAAAAAATGTTTGTGATATAAGCCCATTGTAGTTTCAATATAAATACAACCACAGAGTGACATATTTCTGTATGGACCAGGTGTTCTAATGGCAAATACCGCGCCAGTGCCGGGTATAGGAACAAGACGTGGAAAATGTTAGGTTAGGGAGCATATCAACAATAATAATAGTGATTATTTATTCCTCTTCATACTACACTGTGTTTTGACTTGATAATCAAATAAATGTAAACAATATCGTTGTTTGAGACAACTGCCCCTACTTACGAAATCGTGACGTCAGTTTTTTATTCGCGGTAAATTTCTATCCGTTTGAAAATTACCGTGACTTTATTGATGATTTTAGCCCCTAAAATTATTTATGAATGAATCGCGGTGGATAACTATTGTTATTTAGTCTGGGGTAGTATTCATGCATTCCGTTATCTAAGACTGTACCCTCTGGCAATGATTTCGCAGTTATTCTCACCATTCGCGATTTTCTTCATTTATCCGTATTTGGCATTTGGAATGGTTGGCGTATACTTTTCAATGATTTATGAATGAATTGCGGAGTCTACTCATTGTTATTCAGTCTGAGAGTCTAATCACAAGATACAATTCATTCACTTACAAGAGACCGTCTTACCTCAGCTGTTCGGCTATCCACTCGAGCTCATCCACGCAGATCTCCAGCTGCACCCAGAACTCCGATGGCGAATTCAGATGGCTGACAAACCCGGTGAAATAATATTGTTCATTATAAAATTCTATCTAAGCCTCGTGATGGCTTCTAGCAATCAAATATGTGCTTATGTCACTGGCCGCCTATCATAGACATGTGCAAATGCTGGTTCATTAGTGTTCGACGTGTAGCCGAGCCATCTTATATTTTGTGATAGTGTCCGCGTTTATTGAATTGTGATCATAATCTAACACCTCGTGAACACTTGATGAAGATTCTTCGAGTTCATATACCTAAATCTTTACTGTTCTAATTCACAACGACCTTCTACTTCCTAAGTGCATTAGTTTGTTCTCGTGATGATGGATTTGGTTGATTCCCCACGTTCATTACCAGCCCAATAATAGGGAATTTCACCATGATTTTTTGAAATTTTTTTCACGATCTGGAACACATACTGGGTGAATTCAGCATTTTTAATTTTTTTTATGATTGCGGTTGACCCAGACAAAAATTATTAAACTGAACCTAAATTCAAACGATAGCTCGAAATATTGATGGCATTTCATTGGACGAATACAAGGTGCGTCACAACGCGTCATACACTTCGGACGGACATTCTCATTAGGTAATCCGTCATATCACTTGGTCTTGTCACCATTTGTCATTGCATCTGTCACTCAATAAAAACTATAATATGACACCGATAGATCACTGAAAATCAAATAAACTATGTACTAGATTTCGAGGTTAATCTCTTTCTTCTTCTATAGTTTGTTTTGCAACCATTTTTCTCTCAAGTCACAGATCACCCAACCACTCTGTGCTCGAGTTTTGTGCCTGTGGTTTTTTGCAAGGCAACCTCTTTGGGTCGTCAGGGGGGGCCTCAAGAAAATACAAGTGACGTCACACCGCGGAAAATGGTCGTTTAGAACTCTCTCAATTTGTAACACTTTTGAAGTATTAATTAAACGGTTCTAAAGGAATCAATAGATGAGAGGAAATGCTATTTGATATATGTATGATAATGTAATCATGTGAAATTGCCTATTGTGATATTCAATCTATTCACCAACCAAAAATAATCATTTGTTACCTTAACTGTTCGGCTATCCACTCGAGCTCGTCCACGCAGTTCTCCAGTTGCACCCAGAACTCCGATGGCGAATTCAGATGGCTGACAAATCCGGTGGTAGGTTTCTGTTCCGCCATCGTCTCGTCGGCAGGTAAGGCGAGGTTCTGCTGCACCAGCCCCTCTCTGACGTTGACGCCGTCCGAGTACAGTTCGACGTAGCTCGTTTTCTCGTCCTGGTCGAGGAACTCGGCCGACAGACTATCGGCCAGGGCCAACTTCTCGAACACTTCGAGGGTTATGGTGCTCCACTCGTCGTCTTTGGGTTTTACCTTGATAATAATAATAACAATCAATGATTTCATGGAGTCAGCATAAAAATATTATAATACAAATATGATTCTCAAACGACCACTATAAGATCACTAATTGCTCTTCCACTCCACCTTGACAATTAGGGCTAATATTTTCAGTCTCACCAGTTCCCAAAATCCCAAAATTTTGCCAGATAGTCCCAAAGTGGAATGTTTTATCGAAAATATTCGGAAAAAATGAGGAAAGTCATGGAAAGAGTTGAGGAGTCTTGCACTTTTTTACTCTCAATGTGGAACTTTACGACCAATTCTTACATTGACGGAGAAGAAGATTCCGTAGGAAGATGCCAAGTGACAAGAAAGAAGTTCAGCTAGCTTTGAGAGAGAAAATATGCCTTCCTCATCTGTCCTTGTCTTTAACGTAAAATAATGAACATTTTATGTTGGCAACATTGGAGCTGAGAAAACATGGACAAGAACATCATATTGATCACATTTAAAAAAGGTTAGATTTTCTCCATTTCTTCTCATTTCCAGTGTTGCCAACATACAATTTTTATTATTTCAAGTTGGAACATTGAAGACAAGGATAGATGGAGAAGATAAATTTTTTCTCCCTCAAAGCTAGCAGAGCTTCTCTATTCAAAAATGCATATATTATATATATAGCAGTTTTGAAATACAATTGACGCCTTCTGAAATTCAATTGACTATTCTGAAATATTATTGATACTTTCTGAAATACAAGTGACTATTCTGAAATACAATTGACACCTTCTGAAATTCGATTGACTATTCTGAAATATAATTGATACTTTCTGAAATACAAGTGACTATTCTGAAATACAATTGATACTTTCTGAAATACTATAATTGACGCTTTCTGAAAAGGTGTAGAGGGCTAATTGAGAAATCACCTAAATCTGATTCTACCAGGGGGTTTATAATACATGTGATCATGCGCACATAGCCGACAACATTGCCAGTTATACAGAGTGTCCCAAAATTACATAGAAATATTTCAACGGATTCTGGAGGGTTAAATCCATCTCGGGACCCGAGATGATGGTTTCATGTGAATATTTTTCTACCTGCCCTTGAGTTCACCATTTCCATCGTTGGTGGTCGAAGTTAAACCTGATTTGCTGACAAAATAAATGTTTACCTTGAGAATACATCTGATTGCGTACAGCGCGTCGGCGTCGAGTATCTCTATCTTAACGCATATGAAACCTATGGAGTGACATTCACGTAAATGTGTTTACCTTGAGACTACATCTGGTCGCGTACAGCGCCAGGGACAGCAACTTCGACGACAGCGTTCGCACCGGCGTCGTCTTGTTATCGATCACGTCCGTATTGCCGAAATTAACGAAGCGCACATTCTTTATATCGGAGTCGGCGTCGAGGATCTCGACGCGATAATTTCAATATGAATTTTCGTATGCATTCCAGACTGACGATTGGTTGTTGATATGATACACATATATACATAACCGTATCGAGGAATAAATAATGTTTTGATGATAATTAATTGCGAATCAGAGCACGGTGACACTATGGTTGAAATAATAAATTTTCTGAATTTTGAATAGAACCAGTAATTCGTAAAAAACCTTTCTCCAACGCAATACCGTTTGCACAGCCTCAAAAATTCCCAATACACGGAACACCCAGTAAAAAATCTCGGACTAATCAACATTTAGTATAGTTGAAGGTAACCAATGCAATGCGGATTCTTACATGACAACAGTGCTTGTCTACTCCACGTTACTGAATACCGGGAGAGCTCAATGAAAATATTTCATTTATTCCTATCCGAATATACCTGACACTTGTTTTGACGTTTTTGCATATTCAGAGTATGAACACTTGACACTTGAATGACCCTATATAATATTTAGGAACTTGTATTACTCTTTATAGTGCAAGAGATTTTCATTCGTGTTAACATGACGACGTGTTTTTGAAACATAAGATTCATCAATGAAATCCATAAATAAGGAAGGATTGCAATTCTCCTATCAATCTTTAATTCATTATCGTATCAATAGAAATACAGTCCACTATCTATCAAGCATCGATCATATTGGTCCTTCGAGCCGGATCTATTTAAATCAAACGTTCAAGACTGCCAAGTTCTTCACAAAGGATACACAGCAGCACTCAAGACTACCTGGAGTAACAGTGAATGCCAAGCAGCTGGAGCTTTACAAGTAGCAACAAGCAGTTCGAGCGAACAAATAGATGTAAATAAAAAAACGGGTACTGATAATACGTCGAAACAACAGTGTCAAATACACTAAGGAAGTCTAGTAAAGCCCATACATGTGTTTACCCTGAGACTATGATTAAAGTCTGGCTCTCTTAGGAAGATCGCTGTTCGTTCTATACAAAACGACTGGAGAGAGCTGACTTCTGTATTGGCAATGATTACCATAGTTTTACCAAGTTTCAGTACTTTTTAGATAGATATCGCTAGACTTCTTCCAAGAGTCGGAATATAGTAGGCAATCCAGAACACAAAGTGAGTCGTTATGATTGTGGGAAACATATGGGTCAAACTAGAAGATCCATCAAAACTAGATTAAAAAATAGTCTTAAACTAAGTGTAGCAGCACATAATGTCCAACCATACAGACATATAGATGTGTTTACCTTGAGACTACATCTGGTCGCGTACAGCGCCAGCGACAGCAACTTCGACGACAGCGTCCGCACCGGCGTCGTCTTGTTATCGATCACGTCCGTATTGCCGAAATCGACGAAGCGCACCGTCGTTATATCGGCGTCGGCGTCGAGGATCTCGGCGCGGTACCACTGCCCGTCCACCGAGTAGGGGGCGGCGCAGAACATCCCCGTCGCCGGATTGTCCATCGGCGGCATTTCGGCGACTTGTTCTTGCAGTTCGGCTTGCAGTTCCTCGATGGCGTTGAGGGATTCGGCGAATTGTAGGTAGAACTCGTTGGGGGAGTCTACGTGGCTGGCGAACACCTGAAATGAGTATTTGAAATAAAATTCGGAGTTCCCAGTTACCACACAAAAAGTTCCCAGCAGTTATCAGAAAATATCTTCAGTAATCGGAGTACTCTACAGGATCAGACTTTGAAATACTTGAAATGTTAATATTTTTTCTTGATTTATTCAAAATTACAATACTTGATTTCAGTTTGGGGTACAGCTAGATTATCAATTATGAAGCCAATCAAAATCCTTCAAAACAAAGTTATTAAATGTATATACAAACTAGATTACTTGGAACCAACAAGAAATCTTTATAAACCTAGGCAATTGTTAGATATTAACTCCATTTACAAATTCAAAATATTGAATTTTATCCATTACGTCAAATATAATTATAAACATTCAAATCTGAATTTTGAAGTCAATTGTCATAAACACGAACACTCGCCAATGATGAAGCAAAACACCACGGAAAACCCCAGCTCACCGGCTGTTTTTTTATCGGAACGCTTGGTAGCCATTGTCCCCGAAACAACTTCATGGGAATCACTTGAAACCCCACGTTGGGCGCCAAAATGTGAGCGATCAACAGGGATAGTTGAAGAACCAATGATTGCTACGAAAAAAATCGGCACTGCTGAAGCAAATCTTGCAAGATGAACAAAGATGCACCCACAGTTACAATGGACTATGTTATCTCTTTAGAAAAATCACCAACTAAGGAACGAAAGACAACCAAAAAACCTCAACTCACCAGCTGTCCTTTGATCGGAACGCTCATGAGAGCATAACTTGCTGAAGCGAATCTTGCAAGTGAGAGAAACAAATATGCACCCATAGTTACAATAAACTATGTAATCATTCACATGAGGAAAATCGTCAAAGATGAAACAAAATACCACGAAAAGTCCCAGCTTAAAGGCTGTGATCGCAACGCTTGGTAGCCATTATCCTCGAAAGAACTCGAAACCTCACGTTGGGCGCCAAAATGTGAAAGATCAACAGGGATAGTTGAAGAGCCAATAATAACGATTGCAACGAAAAAAATCGGCACTGCTGAAGCAAATCTTGCGAGTGAGAGGAACAAAGATGCACCCACAATTACAATAGACCATGTTATCTCTTTAGGAAAATCACTAACGGTGGAACGAAACGACTCGGAAAAACCTCAACTCACCGGTTGTCCTTTGATCGGAACGCTTGGCAGCCCTTCCTCCGTCCCCGAAACAACTTCCTCGACCGCCGTGGTCTCGACTCCCACTTTGTCCGCCCTGCTGTTGCTCTCGTCGCTCTCGGCCTCGGGCGCCACCTCGGATTCCGGTCGTTCCAGGCTCGAGGTCACGAAGCCGGTATCAGCCGATCCGTCCTGATCTTTGACGGGTTGTGTCGAGGCAATCGACTCAGAAATTACGGTCGACTCGGAAATTACGGTGGACTCGGAGAGGACGACGATGCCCTCCCAGCCGTTTTCGCCGTAAGCTATCGTGGCGGTGACGTCTTTGTCGAGGAACGATTCAGCATCGGGGGTGATGATCTGAAAAAACGAAAGAAAAAAAATTGAGAAGGGAATTCACATGTGAAATAGAAATCATATTCATGTTCAAACGATTAGGAACTCTCGCTTCGTTCATAAGGTTATCAAGGATGGAATGAGTCATGACTTTTTGAATAGATTCACTAAAAACAATTAAATTTCATTCACGTGAACAGAATACAAAAATGTAACAAGAAACGGACTTTTTATATATTATCAAACTTGAACCACTGATTGAAAAAAGTTAATAAATGCATGTAAGCAACTTATAACTTATTCAGAATCTTCATTAGAGCTATACTTTGGAGTTTGCAATTTTCTAAATAATTGCAGCAATTTTCTGAAAAATTGCATCATCAAAACTAAATTAGATATGGGTAAAAGATCTATTTTATACAATGGAACATTTCTCTAAAATGAATTTCCTGGCCAGACTGAAGAAAAATTTAAGTGATGAGAAATTCAGAACTGAAAAAATAAAAAATGTGTTTGATTCTCTTATATCATTCTAAATCAATTCAAGAACTTATATTCAACAGTCTGTAGAAGAAACAACATTATACCTACTATGTATATGATTCAAAAATAATGTTTCTTGGGGTAATAAAGACAATCAATCAATCAAAATTATGATGAATGGTTTTAGTTCCATAATTTCCCAATCTCGAGTATAACGTCATTATATTTAGGTGACTGTTTCAGGAGGTTTCTCAGAAGTGGATGATTTGAGTAGAAATTAATATATTCAGTACCTTTACAAAAGTACTTTATATACAGTCTTCAACTGTTTTGACTCGTTTGAATAGCTTGAAGCATCAACAAAATGTAGGCAGCTAGAGATTCGAGGGTCGGTCGTATGGATAGAAGAAGATAACTGAGTAAATAAAATTGAAAAGCATGATCTCAATCACTCAATTTTATGGACTGGGGTTTCAATCAACTGTAAGTCCATTTTCGACTCTCACCTGCAGACTCAGCGTACAAATATCCAAAAACTTGCCCTCCAACTCCCTGATCTCCGCGAAACCGACACTCTCCGAGTTCCCGTAATCCAAGTAACCAACCACGGCCTTCTCGTCGTCGAAACTCGCCACCCTGCCCCTGTACCAGTTGCCGTCCTCGCTGCGCACCGCGTAAACGGCGCCCTCTTCCGGCACGATAGGGGTTTCCTGGGTCTGAGAGAGAAAGAGAGAGATACAGGGTGTTCCTTAAAGACATGCTAATATTTAAGGGGCTGATTCTTTGACTCATTTCAAGATATAAACTTCCTATGAACGTATGTCTTAAAAGTCTTAACTTTTGACATACAGGGCGATAAAGTTTTGAAAAAAAAACAGTTTTTTATCAATAACTAATATAATATTGTAGACATCTTTACCAAATTTGGTACATGTCTTCTATGCATCAAGGTGCATTTTCTGATGTACACAAATTCTCATTTTCTCTACCAGTGGCGTCGTTTGGGGGACATTATTGTTTATATTTTACCTAAAAGTGAGCAACGGAGAAAAATTTCCGAATTTCATACAATCCTATGAAAGGCCATTCAATTCTGTACAAAAAAGATCCTCTTGCTGATACTCCATAGAACGCTCCGTTTTCGAGAAAAAACGGAAAAACGAGACCAGACTTCAAATGTTGATGCAAAGCTGAGGTACTCCATTCAGGACATAAATTACTAGATAACCACAGTATGTAACATTTTGAAATTTCTGCATCGTTCAAGTCACATAGCAGACTGAATTTTTCCATCACGAAAAGCTATACAGGGTGGACAAAAAAAAAGAATCTATGCATATTTTCAACTTAGGACGTTTACGACATACGTTCATATGAAGTTTTATTCTTAAAATGGGTCCAAAAATCGCCCCCTGTATATTTATGGTCCAACAAACATGACCTTATCGACAAATTATAAAGTAAAGTCCGTATGACACGTGTCAGTTTTTCACTCATAAAATGGATCATTATTGAACCCAATAAAACATTCAGAATAATCTGAATCATTTGTGGAAAAATTTTGTGCTGTGTGACACAATATAATATCACAGATAAGATATTGTGACAAGGGGCATGCGCATGTTACGAAATAATATAATATGCAATGCGGATACACATGCATGCCGGTTGTGCGTGTATAGTAACCTCAAAATATATTTTTGGAAGAAGATAATCAATTTTCATTTCAATACTGAACATATTGGTAAGTTATATTCTTATATCATGATACATCATATTATTCTATTCGATTTGAGAGATAAGGGCAATTCTCAATTTCAGAGGATTTTGATTTTTGATGCTCTCTTTTTGGATATTCAACAAATATAATTCAATGATCGACGTGGCAAATAGCCAGGAAAGTAGTTGTTTTCTGTTGAATAAACCGAGGAAGAATTACTATTTTCATCACATGGAGGATGCAAATTGTCAATGTATTTCTTTATAGATAGCGAAACTAAAAAGAAGTAAATAAAATAATAATAGTGTCTTGAATGAATGATGAATATTGAACTGGAAAAATATATTATAGAAATATAGCAAAACAACGTACGGGTGGTGTGCTAGTTATAAATAAAGAGATAAAAAGTACATTGGAATTATTCCAGAACTTCAATATACAGTTGTTACATTATTCCCTCTGAGGTGCTTAGCATGGTTTTATCGAGATTGAAACACAGAAAATTCGATTCCCACCTGTCCATCATAGGTGGCGAACAGCTGGTCCAGCAGATAGGCCAGCAGTTCTGAATATTCCGTCGGTTGAAGGAAAATGCTGGTAGAGTCGGCGAAGGAGACGTAGCCGGTTAGGGTGGAACGCAGGACCGGCAAAGGACATAATCGCTCGACCGTATCGAATGCGCCCTCATCCGGCTCAACGATGACGTGTTTGTTGCCTTCCGTATCGTAGAAGGTGACTTCTAACCTACAATGATGGTTATTTAGGTTAGCGGTTAGCGTTTGTTCAACCATTGCCGTGCTAAATGAAAGCCTAGTTGGTAGGCGAGAGATCAAGTGTGTCCCAGCTAAAACTAGTCACCACCCTTATCTCCGAAGTCGTTAAAAAAATTGAAAATCGCTCGGACAAGTCGATTTTAATTTTAATGTCTTGCAAAAACTTTGGCAAGAAAAGATGTATACCGGGTGACACAGGAGACATGTAACAGCCTGTAGTTTTTATATTTGGAGAGTTGAAAATTTGAAATTCACAAGGGTTACATTATCGATGATGGCGCTTTCCTTGAACCCAATGAAAATTTTTTTCAATCACCTGTTTGATCGGAAGTTGACCCAATTTTTTTATTTCAAATGGCACCCTGTACATTTCTGTAGTCTATCTTATGCGCCTTAAAATTCTCTATTCAACAATGTATCACAATTTGATATTCGTTCATTAATTGGATGCTTGATAAGCTTAGAAATCCAAAGATCATCACTTAAACGATATTATCAGAATATTTTCCATACCTCACTCGGTCTCAGAAGATTGCCAATAATTTCATTGAGTTCAAAAAAATCACCCGAAAATAACTCACGATATTAGGACGATACATCAATTCTTACAACGATTTCAGTTTCATGTACCCAAATGGATGATCATATTATGGCTACATGGCGAAAATTAAAGACAAATAGTTTCTTCACAAGTAGCCAAATGAAAAAAAACTGAGTTTCTATCTTGCTTTTCTCAATACCGTAAGTTATTTTCGGATGATTTTTTCAAACTCAATGATATTATTGGCAATCTTCTGGGACCGATTAGGGCATGGAAAATATTCTGATAATATCGTCTAAGTAATTGGTTCGTCCGTTTAACTAATTTTAATTTTATTTAATAATCAACTATCAATGTGTAAGTGAAACTTATTGAATTAGCAAACTAGCATATTAATAATACTCAGGCACAAGGATTGTAACTCCGCCACTGGGTGCTCAGAAACAAAAACCTGAGCAAAAAACTGCGAGTCTTGGTAGCGAGGCTCGAAGAAGAAAAAGGAGAGAACCGATCGATATTTCGTACGATACGCTCGCGCAATAAAAATACTCAAAAACATACTGTTTTGAATTAAATATCATGGTGATATATAGTTCCGTTGTTGACTATACAAATCAAGAGTTTGGTGCCACACAAGAAAGATCCTAGCTAGGCAGAAGATCCTGTTTTCAACAGTTCCTGTATTCCTGAGACATATGGTGAGTGGCGTATCGTTATTACTTTTCTTGTGCCGGTTTGAATTTCATCTCCAAAAATTACAGTCCACTGCATAAAGTCTCGCTCAAACAGTAATGATCTTTAGATTTCTAAGCCTATCAAGCATCGAAATGTCATTGAATTCGAGCCGCAGCAAACTTCATCTATTTTAATAAAATGCAATTTAACAGCCAAATAATGAACGAATATCAAATTGTGATACATAGTTGAATAGAGAATTTCAAGGCAAATAAGTTAGGCTACAGAAATATACAGGGTGCCATTTAAAAAAAATGGGTCTACTTCCGATCAAACAGGTGGTTGAAGAAAATTGTCGTTGGGTTCAAGGGAAGCGCCATCATCGATAATATAACTCTTGTGAATTTCAAATTTGTATCTCTCCAAACAAAAAACTACAAACTGTTACATGTCTCCTGTGACACCCGGTATTTGGTAAGCAATAAACTTTTAAAATAAAACCTTATTTTTTATTGGCGTTTGGTAGTGAAAATATGCTACAGGAAGCAATAACATCAGGTAGGATGTAGTTATTCATAAAATATCATAATTATATCACTTTGAATCAAAATTCAAAAAATTAACGTTTGTGAACCCGAAACAAAAATCACAATCGTTAACACGGCTTGAGCCTCATTCAGTAACAGATTTTATTTTCAGTAGTAATTATATAAGTACTATATTCGGGTTATACATAGATAACTTGTTGCATAACTACAAAGAATGTCAGTTCAACAGGTGCAATAATCCGACCGCGAAGCGGGAGGAATATTCTGTTGAACTGATACGATTTGTAATTGTGCAGGAAGTTTGAGATGTATAGTCGAATTGTATACAAATGACTAACAATATAGAGATATTTAACACAATAGGATTGCTGCTGGTGCCACCATAACTTGCATCCTACTTTCGTAGTTTGTGTAAGTATGAACAATGCTCATACTTGAAATGTTTCAACATGAGAAAAATCACAAACTTGACAGGAACATGAAAAATTTCAAGGGTTGGGGTAACAAATGAATAACTCAGTTCAGAATAGAGGTCAGTAGCTTACTGAAAATGGCGATATTTTGCATATTTTTTTCACCGAACATACAATATCATACATCGCTTACGAACTAGGTTTTCATTCAGAATAACATTGATTCAACATTCAACAAATATTATGATGTGTTGTTAGACTTCGGAAGATTTTTCATACCATTCATATGTGCAAATATTCAAAGATAATCTATGATTCGCCAACATTCTGAGGAAAATATAATCTGTTGATTTTTATGGTTAAATTAACATTCTCTTTACTGTTTTACGACTAACCAAACCAATTTTTTAAACGCCTCGACACGTGTTTCGCTAACTATGTTAGCATCTTCAGGAGAAGATTAAAACTGTTGAGTTTATAGAATTGGTATATGGTGTTCATGCACATTTATGATATTGAATTGCCCTACGAATTTCAAAGCAGTACCTTTAAAGGATTTTGAAATATTCAGGAAAATCTGTAAATAGAATCAATCTTCATCGCCCTCTCACAGCTCAACAATGCATTTTTGTATACAGTTAAGTTGATTTCAATCGGCTTATTTTTGTCTCTAGTTCAGCCTGTAGATTTTATGGTGCATTGTTCTGGGACACCTTGTATAATAACTTCAGAAAACTTCTAAATATGTGTTCCAGGTGTATCTAGATACAGTAATGATATTTCCAAGACTGGTAATTGGCAGGATAATCACACTACACTGCTTTACCACTAACCAAACAGATTTTTAAAACGCCTCGGCACGTGTTTCACTAACTATGTTAGCATCTTCAGGGAAAGCTTAAGACAGTGTTATTCTTCTCCTGATCCTTTGCAACCAAAATACATCAATTCATTTGAGGAGATACGATAATTCTACACAAAAAAGATTTCATGACAGTTTTATTTTTAGAACAATAATTTCCATGATAAATCCCTGTGAAAAATTATGTTCGAAAAATACTGAAACGTTCATTGTTTCTCTTGATGTCAGTTGAAGGGAAAAAAATGGAGATAATAATTATTGTACTCACTTATTATCTATAACATTATCGACATAAACAATCACAGTTTGTTCCAGAAGACCTTTCAAGGTATCCTCAAAAGTCTCGGTAGCTGTCGCCAAATTGTGAGCAGCACAACTAACAGCTAGGCCGCATTCCAGTACTATAAAAATAAATTAATAATAATAATTGATAATATTGATTATAGTAAAAACACTAATTATAACAAAATAACAGACAGATATCCAATTGTCAGAATTAAACATATATGTAGATTTGATGAAAAAATGTATTTTTGGATGTATGAAAAATTGATATTTATCATACAGGACGTGCAAAGAAATTCTGAATTGAGAAAACCAGATCACGAATCTGCGATTGAGGTCTTAAAAATAACAAGTTTCCATCGTTCAAGTTTGAACCACTTGATTGGGTGAAAGTATTGAAAAGGAATATTCTCAGATATATGAACATAAAGAAATGGATATATATCAAGAAATACAGTGAGAATTAGCATTCTCAATGTGATGAAAATATCAATTCTTTCTGGGTTTATTCAACAGAAAACAACTACTTTCCTGGCAAATGCCACGACGAACATTGAATTACATCTATTGAACACACACGATAAGAATTTGAGAACAAAATCGTCTGAAGTAGAGAATTTGCATTCTGCTTCATATGAAGATATGGACATGATATAATTCTGAATATTCAACAGAAAACAACTACCTTCCTGGCTATTTGCCACGTCGAAAATAATTCCCATATCACTGATACGAATGATTTTTTTTTTTTTTTGAAGTTTCAAGCTCATCAAGATCAGAGTTTATACTAGTATACTTCTCATAAACTTTTGATAGGGGCCATGGAAAGACTTCATTGCGGCATTCAACTCCCGTATATTGTTTTTTTTTCTCTCTGAAAAGATTACTTCAACATAGGGGTGGGCCTTTTCGAGGGATAACCCCGTACATAAAATTTAATTTCAGCCTACACTCTGTATACCTTCATATTCATATCAACATTAGCAATGACAATAATCATACATAAAAGTGATTCACTCGTTCTTCGGGATTTTATCGGTTAGGTGAGTGACATAACTAATTAGTCATTAGGGTGAATCAATCCACTCATGTCAGTCTTGAATTAGATTTCATCGTGTTCGGTCGGTCGATTAGTGTTTAGAAAAATAATTCCGATTATGTACCGTTCAGTTTAGTGATTGTATTTAGTTTGTGTGTGTTGTTTTGGTGTTTGAAAATCGGAAGGAATAGTTTCCAATATGGTAAGTAAATACTAAAACTTTGGCATGGAAAGTGTTTTTGATTTGATTCATTAGATATTAGTTATGAAGGTATTTTATCACGTGACCAGTATTTTTTCTATTGGTTCATTCATCATCCTGATTGTAACGAAAAATACGCTTTCTATAGATATACCAAGAGACTAAAACTATTCTAACAAGAGTTATAGGTATACTGATTTATTTTAGATACTCAAGTTCGAAAAATGTTTGTGAATGTATTAATTGGTATACTATACAAGTATAACTAGTTGATTCAAAAAGAACTTCTGACAGTACTTTGGAAACAATAAGTATATTTTCCAGAATAACATCAGTATGACATCTCATATCAGCACTAGTGTAAATATAAATCTGTATGTGTACAAATGAAAGGAATGAATGAATTTCTAGCCAAACTGTCCATTTCTGAAAAATCTCCTGAATCAGATCGATTTTGATTTTTGATTTTCCACATTCATTAGGGAAAATTGAAAATACAGGGTGTTCCACGTTTGAGTTCTGACGTACGCAACGATTTTTTAAAATAGAACACACTACATATATTATTAAATCTTTGGAATCACCATAAAAAGCTGAATTCAAAAATATATCAATACACATAGTTTGTATACAGTGCGTCATTCAATTTTTAGAATCTCCATAAAAAGCTGAATTCAAAAATACATTACACATAGATTTTGTATACAGTGCGACCGTATTTCACGAGAGCACTGAATTTAACGGACGCGCTGTGAACAAATCCTATGTGTGATATAATTTTGAATGCAGCTTTTCATTGAGATTCTCAATATATTGAATAATATATAGGATGTTCCCTTTCAGAAAATTGAAATATTCAGATTTTCAAAGCCTATTTTTGTTTGTTTAAGGGGTCAACATTTAAAAAACGACTATTAGTCTTTTTTTTCGAAACTGACAAGCCTATTCGATTCAAGCATATCTGAAATACTCCCATACAAAATTTGAACGCAAAATCTCATATAGGGTGTTAGTTATTCAATGGCAAATTTTGATATTTTCGATTCACCCTGAATCAAAATCTAAGGAGTTGATGTAACCGGTGAAGTAGTCATTCAATGGAGGAACACATCGAATACTTAGATACGAAGTTCAATCGTTGTAACTTCTACAGGAAGATCTCGCTGGGTCAACCAAAAATTAATTAAATTGGGGTTGAAAAATGTTTCGTAATGATCCATATCTTTTTTCCTGGAAATATAAATAATGGTAACTGATTCTAGGGAATATTCTACAGGGTGAGTCAATAGTGTGTTCTCCTTCTATATTAGCCAAACCGTCAGTTATATAGAAAAAATTCGAATACAACAGTTATAGGGTTTCTTGGGAACTATCACCTAAAACTATTTTCATATCTATAGGGTGTTCGAATTCCAAGATATCGGTTGATGATGGGGGTTTTCAAATGAGACACCTTTCACTTTGCTGCAATCCCCACTAGCAAGCTAGTTTTATATATAAATATATATACAGTATGATATCTCAAAGGAAGGAAGGAAGGAATGCTCGAAGTATGATATCTCTTATTTTTTCATTATAACGACCTTTTTGACCCCAGAAGACAATTTTTGTGTGTTAGCTTCTACACTACAGATATCATGTTAGCCATGAATGAGGATATATTTGTAATATCAATATCGAATACAATCACAAACTGATCGAGTGATCACCAATTAATCAGAATGATGTGTGCATATACATATTTTTGTCTGAAGGAGAATGCAAATTCTCAATTTCAGAAGATTTTATATTATATTTCCAAACTCTTATCGTGTGTGTTCAATAGATATAATTCAATGTTCGTCGTGGCATATAGCCAGGAAAGTAGTTGTTTTCTATTGAATAATTCTATTGAATTATCATCACATAGAGAATGCAAATTCTCAATGTATTGCTTTATATAAATATATATCCATTTTTGTATGTTCATAATTTATCTGAGAATATTCCTTTTCAACACTTTCATATCCAATCAGGGGGTTCAAACTTGAACGATGGAAACTTGTGATTTTTATAGACCTCTAATCGCAGATTCGTGATAGAGTCTCAATTCAGAATTTCTTTCCACGCCCTGTATGATGAATGTCAATTTATCATACACCCAAAAGCAGAAAAAAATTGTTTTTCAATGCTCAAAAGAGTAGTTATAATATATCTACATTTTTGTGATCACAAAAATTCAGATTCCGAAAAATATAAAAACAAAAAAAAAAATTTGGGGTTTGTCACGCTATAAGGGATCACCCTAATAAACTTTTGATAGGGGCCGTGGAAAGGTTTCATTGCGGCATTCAACTTCCGCATTTTTTTTCTCTCGATGAAAAAATAACGTTGATATAGGAGTAGGCCTTTTCGATTGATGACCCTGTGCATAAGATTTAATTTCAGCCTACCCTCTGTATACCTTCATATTCATATCAACATTAGCAATGACAATAATCATACATGAAAGTGATTCACTCGTTCTTCGGGATTTTATCGGTTAGGTGAGTGACATAACTAATTAGTCATTAGGGTGAATCAATCCACTCAAGTCAGTCTTGAATTAGATTTCTTCGCGAACGGTCGGTCGATTCAAAAGGTTTAGAAAAATAATTCCGATTATTTACCGTTCAGTTTAGTGATTGTATTTAGTTTGTGTGTGTTGTTTTGGTGTTTGAAAATCGGAAGGAATAGTTTCCAATATGGTAAGTAAATACTAAAACTTTGGCATGGAAAGTGTTTTTGATTTGATTTATTAGATATCAGATATGAAGGTATTTTATCACGTGACCAGTATTTTTTCTATTGGTTCATTCATCATCCTGATTATAACGAAAAATTCGCTTTCTACAGGGTGACAGAAAAAAGTACATTGCATAGTGCCACACAATAGAGGATACTAAAATAAGAAAAAAGTTCCTATGAACATGGGTCCGCAAGGCCTTCGGATAAAAGATACGGGGTGTTGAATTTAAATTTTTTTTGGGTTTTCTTTGAATATCTTTAGCCAGAGACGCAAGAAATGAATAAAATGTGGTATACAGGGGTTTTTTATCATGCTAAATTCAAATATGATCTTAATTTTGTGATGACTGATAGAGGGCGCTACATACAGGGTTCCATCCCTATTGAATCGGTCGTAACTTTTTTGCTATACACTGTATGTCATTCTCGATGGAAAAAAGTTGTTATCCCTCCTTTTATACTTAAGAAAGGTATACCTTGTCCAAGTCGCTAGAAGCAATGGTTCCAGTACAAATGCATCTAAAAGTCGACAATGCACGCAAATTATTCAGAAAGCGCCAAAGTAACTTTTGCAAAAACAATGATAAATACTTCAACAATTACATTTTAATGATATGATGAAAAATATGATTAATTAGAACGAAACATTAAGTTTTTAGAAGACGTTCAAATTGTTGCCCTTGTACTTCAATACATTTTTCCATTAAAATTCAACACCCCGTATCTTTTAACCGAAGGCCTGTCGGACCCATCTTCATAGGAACTTTTTTCTTTATTTTAGTGTCCTCTATTGTGTGGCACTATGCAATGTACTTTTTTCCATGTCACCCTGTATAGATATACCAAGAGACTAAAAATATTCTAACAAGAGTCATAGGTATACTGATTTATTTTAGATACTCAAGTTCGAAAAATGTTTGTGAATGTATTAATTTGTATATTATACAAGTATATCTAGTTGATTCAAAAAGAACAAATAAACTTCTGACAGCACTTTGGAAACAATAAGTATATTTTACAAAATCACGTCAGTATGACATCTCATATCAACACTAGTGTGAATATAAATCTATATGTGTGCAAATGAAAGGAATGAATGAATTTCTAGC